GTAGTAAGTACTCTGGTCCTCTGATCCCAAATTTATTGCTCTTTTCACTCTACCACATTATTCCCATGAATAGCTGCTTGCTTTCAAACATAATTTAAAAAGCTCAGAAATTGAATGTAAAAAGCGATGTTTTGGTTGCAGAAGAAGGTACTGAACTAAGAGTTACTAGACTAGGATTCTAGTAGGGATTCATTTTTTGCTGTTGTTCAATCATGTCTGACTCTTCATGACCCCATTTGATATTTTTTTGGCAAAGCTACTGGAGTGGTTGGCCATTTTCTTCTCTAGTTCATTTTGCAGACAAGGAAACTGAGGCAAATAGGGTTAAGTGACTTGCCCAGGGTCAGACAGGTAGTAAATATCTGAGACTGGATTTAAACTCAGGTCTCCTGACTCCAGGCCCAATACTCCATGCTGCCTCTCACCTCAACATTACCTTGTACTTATTTTGCATATGTTTATTTTTCATGTACTCATATGTGTACATGTTGTCTAACATTATGGAATGAGAGGGCGAGGACTGTTTCATTTTTGTCTAACATTCTAACAAGGTAGCTAGCTCATAGTAGTAAAATAAAAAATGAAGCATCGGCCCTGGATTCAGGAGGACCTGAGTTCAAATCCAGTCTCACACACAAAACACTTACTAGCTGTGTGACCCTGGGCAAGTCACTAACCCCACTGCCTAACCAAAAAAAAAAAAAAAAATTCGTGTAATTGATTTCCCAGAGTCACACAGAGAGTAGTATATAGTATAGCCAAATTTGAAGTCAGATCCTATAGGTCCAAATGCGATTGTTCTTTCTGTTGTATGGCACAGTCTCCAAACATTTATTCTGTGTATAGGGAGATGAGGAAGGAGGAAGAGATACAAATACATGGTCCTTTAGGTAGCTGGAGGTGTAGGTCTGGAGTAAGGACTGAATGTTTAGATTTAGAAGTCATCTGCAACGAAGCAGTAGTTGAAGCTGTGGGAGTGAATAAGATTACCTAGGAAGAGAGAGTTGAGAGGTAAAAACAAAAACAAAAACACACACACACACACACACACACACACAAAGAGATTTCCTTCCCATTAAAGGTTTGAACTGCCCTTCAGACAGACAGTTAAGGTGGAAGCACTGAGAATACGAGTTTTGGGAGGCAGGAGGAAGGAAGGACGTTGGAGCATGAGGTCCTGTCAAGAGAACACTGCTGAAGACAAGCCCACTGTTCCATGATTTTGCCTGGTAAAGGTGCTAATCCTACCCACTGTATTTGTAAAGCAAGCAATGGCACTAGGGAGCCACTGCACTAAGAAATTGTATTTTTAATATGAACCCCTACCCCAACTCCCCGTTTATCTTCTAAACAGTCTCCATTCCTGACCTAATGTGAACAAGTACAGGTTCAAGCCAGGCCACCACACATAAAGAACCTATTTCTACATGGACTAAACCATTTTTCTCTGCCTAACACAAAAATACTTGGGGTAAAAAAAATAACAATAGCAAGGCATCAAACAAAACACTGCTTCCTGGGTATTATTCAGGTGAGGGAAAGTAGAGAGACATTAAAATTTCAGGGAATTGTATCAGAATTTGATGTCCTAGAAATGTGTATGTATAGCCTATATCAGATTGTGCGCTGTCTTGGGGAGGGTTGTGCAGAGGGAGGGAAGAAAAATTTTAAACTCAAAAGCATATGGAAGTGATTGTTGATAAATCAAAATAAATTAATTTATTAAAAAAAATTTGATGTCCTTTTCTATCACTCTGAGAACTGTCTTCTCCTGCCACTGCTCCTTCCCCTGCCCCCGGTCTTATTGTGGTACAGTCTGTTGCCTAGGGAATGGAATAACATCCCCATAGACCTCCCCACCGGATTACAACAAGAGTAAAGGAGAAAGTAGGAAGTGTGACCAGAAGCCAAAGTCATTTGGTTTAAACATTTCTCCTAAAAATGGAAGACTGAGGATCAAGGATAGGAGGAAGTGGTAGGTGAGTATGAATATCAACTTTGTGGGTCCTCCTTACCAGAAGACTAAAGGAAGAATATCGGGCTAGGAGGTTGTGCAGGCTGGTGTCATCTTACCTCAGCTGCCATCACTGGATCCCAAAATCCCAAAGACACTAGCAGAAAAAGCATCAGTGCCTGCCTGGAAAATGACCAGCCATACCCTTGGACAAGTGGATAGAACCCTTATTCACCCCTTCAAGAATTCTTGTCCAGAAGATCATCATCATTACTGGGGCGATAGTTTATTCATCTATTTCCTGATTGGACCAGTGAGTTTTTCTTGTCCTAGCTGATGGAAATTTCTCAGAAAGATCAGAGAAGACAAAGGATAAATTTATCACCAGTCTTCCAGAACTCAGCATAATTGTCTAGTCTAGAAAGCCTGAACTACTCACCTAGCCTTTCAGAGAGTCTTTCCACAGCTCTCAAGTTACCCTTTTTCACAAAGCAACTTAATGGTATCCCAAAATCACAGAACATTAGAAATTGAAGAGGCCTAAGATTTCATCTAGTTCAACCCCCGCTGATTTTATAGATGAGGAAACTGAGGATCAGAGGAATGACTTGTCCCAAGGCCACATGGGTACTGAGTTAGCAGTGCTGAGATTCAAACCCATTTATTCTGATCCCAAGTCAAGAGTTCTTTATATTATGCCAAGCTGTTCTCAGGGGCTTGTCAACTAAGGTCTTAGCTGATAATAATTTAAGGAATTACCCTTTCCAGAAATAACAGAATTTCAAGAGGAGGTGCTTGAAGACACAAAAATCTCTAATAGTGGAATTTCAGTGGAATAACAGGCCAATAGGATAAAGATAGGCAACCACCTACTTAAGAAGCCAACCTTTTTTGTTATGATTAGTTCTTATGTGTTCGTGGGTGTGAACAGACTGCAACATATATCCAATGATGGAGAAGAACTGGAATAAAGGAAATGTATGCTAGAAATAGAAGATGGGCTGATCAGAAGTCGAGTAATAACTAAAAGGTAGCCAGCTCAAGTGCTCCACTGGTATTCTTGCAATTGTCAGGAGAAATAGAGGAAAGACTTTTGAGGGGACCCCTTTGGCAAAGTTATGGGAGGATATGAACAAGTCATATAGGAATAGCAGGCAGGCAGCATGCTGGATAAAGCATTTGACCTGGAGTCAGTAAGACAGAAGTTCAACTAAATGTGGCCCCAGACAATTATGGGGACAACACTTAAATCTCTGCCTCAGTTTCCTCAACTGCAAAATGGGGATAACAGTAGCCTCTATCTCTCAGGATTGTTGTGAGAATCAAAAGAAATAACTTTGTAAAGTGCTTTGCAAACCTTAAAATGTGGTATAAATGTTAGCTATTGTTATTATTATAATGTACACCAAAGATATCAAGTAGGTACCCTGGCCCCTCAATACTCCTGAGTGTGACTTGAACCAGATTAAAATGTTATTAGGAAATATTTAACAAAATAAATAAAAATATAATAGAACGTAGATAATGGTAAGTAGTTTTGTAAGTCAATATCCACCCTGTAGAGGGATCCTTATGTATGGTTTAGTGACACCCCTTCCCCCACTTTTGACACCATTGATCTACTTCACTGGAGGGGACTTCCAAATCCATGAGATCACAGATCCATTTGAGTTTCTGAGTACCTCTTCTCAAATCCACTCTCAGTTCCTACTGCCCTGAACATGACTTTCAATTGAACCAGTGCTGTGACACTTGGATCTCATTCTCAGGCCTTCTGTGGCCCCTAACCTCCAGAAGAGCCTTCAACAAGGCTTCAAGAAGACCAACATTAGTTTATAATGATTCTTCATTTGCATTGTGGGTCGTCCTTTCCTCCCTTTCACCAAACTCCTATCCCTTGACTTTCTAAGACCCCTCCTAAACTCAACTGCTTGACTGAAAAAGTGTTCCATGCTCTAGACTTCTCTGTCCTACTTTCCAACTCATGCCCTCATAAAATCTTCCCTGTCTTATATAACTATTCCTTCAGAGTCTTGCTCTTAAGTTAGCTAATCTAATAAAAGAATTTAAGGTAAAGGCTAAAGTGTTAATGGCCACTAATAGCTTAATGTTTCACCCTTCCAGGTAATATTTGAATTGTATCCAAGACTGTCAATGCCTTAACCCAAAGGAGTGATTAATGGTCAAATTTTCAGACTTACTGAAGAGCAGTGGGAAGTGATATTTTTGGACAAAGTGATTTTTTGGTACCCTTGACATCATATCAACTAAACATGTCCCACCTTCTCCTATGCTTAGAGTCAATCCTATATCATTGCCCTTTCCAATTCCTGCCATAAGTGTACTTTGAGACTGAGGATCTTATTTTCAAAGCTACCATTTTAAATGATGCCTATACCTCCTCCCCTATCCCTTTCTGAACTTTGAAATGACAGAATTTCACTGCTTATATTTCACATGCTAAACTGTAATTTTTAGCTCTTTCAAGGCAGGAACTGCATCTTTCAGTACTAAAATTAGGGGTATGCTAGAGCTACCTTGAAGGATCAGAGAGAGTCTGTTGTTAAATTTTCAGTATCAGCATTTACAATTCAGAAATCAGCAAATGCTACAAATCAGTGTTTGATTTATTGTCTCTCTGATTATCTAGAATTATGAAAGTGATGGAGAAAATATTAATTCAAATTAAACTTAAAAGTGGGTCGCACATATAGCCAATTGTTATTTACCAACACAGCCCTGACTAAAACCTCCCATTATTATGACACTTCACATTTTTCAGAGTTTCATGTCCATAATCTGATTTTGTTCTCATTTAAAAAAAAAAAACCTGTGAGTAGATATTATCATCCTCATGTGAAATCCAAAATAAAATGCTCTGCAGCATTGAATTTAGTTTTTTCTCCTGCCACAATACTCTTAAAAGAACACTAAGGATACCCAAAGAAGTTCTATGCCCCATGCCTTGTTTCAGAATGTTTGCCGCAGAATACATTCACCATGTGCTGATTTTCCTTCATAGGAAACTATCTTGGAGTATTCTAAAATGGCCACACAAAGCAGAATTGGAGTCCAGATGAAAGATAATGAAAAATTTCCTGAAGACCTTAGGTAAGGACCAAACTTACCTGGGTTCCCAAATGAAAATAATATTTACTTATAAAAGGGAATTGATATAATTTTCATTTTTGTTAAGTACTCTGGAATTTTTCCATAATACTATCCTATGTGGAACAAAATTTAATATAAGGCTAATGTGTCTTGGACTCCATATGGGGGAGAGGCTGGTTACCAAGATACCACATTATGAAAAGGTCTCCCCTATAAACTGGCCCTGAGGCATAAACCCTGGAGACTGATTCATTCATAATAGGATTTCATGAGGATAACTGGGAGAAAAACAAAGGAGACAAGAAAACCTCAGGATTATTCAAAAGAAATAACGATTATTTGGAGGCCTCGATGTAGTGGTGGAGCACAGATAGGTTAAATTAAGAAAACAGTGAATTGGAATTATGAGTAATGACCAAATGGAATTTGTGTTTTATAGTGTGAAAGAAAACACTGCTGCAGGCCCTAAGAGGCAGGTAAGTTTGTAGTTTATCCCTGGAAGCCCTGAGAAAACAGATAATAGATTATTGGTTTCAGACATCAAACAGATCCAGGACTTGATAAAAAAAATACTTAAGTTATACAACTAAGAAGAAATAGTTACAAATCATATCCTTAGGGGGTTGGTGGTGGGTGGAGGGTGGTTTTGCTCCAAGAACCTTTCCAAATGATATATCTCAACTTAGAACATCTGGAAAGTTGGGCTTGGCAGAGCAACATTAGGACAGGTGGGAGCAGGGAGAAGGGTACACCTAACTGACTCAGGGAAAAATATCTATGTTCAGAATTCTTTGAATTGCACCCAAAGGAGGGAGAAGCAATAATTCCTCCCAAATGTGTACAGACCAAGGGACTAGATGTAGGGGTGGGGAACCTGTGGCCTCGAGGCTACATGTGGCCTTCTAGGTCCTTGGGTGCGACCTTTTGACTGAGTCCAAGTTTTACAGAACAAATCCTTTTATTAAGGGGATTTGTTCTGCAAAGTTTGGATTCAATCAAAGGGCTGCACTTAAGGACCTACAGGGCCACATGTGGCCTCGAGGCAGCAGGTTCCCCACCCCTAGACAAGCAATATCTGTCTTTCACATAGATATACACCTAATAAATGTTTGCTGCTGATTGACATGATATTTGCAAAGATGGAAATAAATATGGAAATATAGAATGAAATTCAAAATTTTTTCATATTTTTTGTTTTGTTTTTCTAAGAGAGGAAGGCAAATTTTATTTGCATACTGAACATGAATATAAATGGATTTTCTAGTTACTCTCTCATCTTCAAATGAGATATTTGTAAAGTGCTTGGTACAGGACCTGGCACATAGTAGGTTCTATATGAATGCTAGCTATCATTATTATTATTATTATTATCATTATTATTATTATTATCTCAGATTTTTTGATTCTCAACTTCACTCTACCTCAGTCACCTATAAAGGACAGTCACATTACCCAAAATTGCTCCAGTTCTAAATTAATTAATTCAGTTCAGTTCACATTTTTGAAGTACCTAGTACGAGCAAAGCACTGTCAAGATCTAAATCTTTGAGATTCCTCTCTTACTATATATAACCTCTTGTCTTTCCATCTTTCCCATTGAGTTACTACTTCCTTCAATGAGGAATGCCTGTAAAGACAGTTGCCCTTCCATGTCCTCCCTTCTACAGGATTAACCTCCCCAGTTTCTTCAACTGATGTTCATATGGTATAAATGTGAGGGCCTTCAGCATCCTGTCCTGCTCTAGACACTTCCCATCTTGTCAACGTCCTTTCTAAAATGTGATGCCCAGAGCTGAATGAATTATTCCACATATGGTTTGACCATAGCAGAGTTCAATGGGACTATCAGTTCTCTTAATAAAACCCAAGATTGCATTAGATTTTATTGCTGTCCTATCATACTGTTGGATGGACAATCCATAGATTTTGGCCTTAGTACATGTGTCTTGGACAGATGCTATGCGTGGACAATAAGCTGGTCCCAGAACTGACCAGAAGAAGAGCAGGCTAGATTGCCTTTAGGAAATTCTGCCATGCTTTTAGTGACCTCAAATTTCTCCCTGAAACAAAAGCTCCTCTTTTAAACAATATTCTTCTGATGCTGTATGTATATGAGTCACAGATTTTCGTGGTCTCTCTGAAGAATAAAAGTTGACGGACAATGAAAAACCACATAGTAGGTGTGAATAAGATACAATATAATATCAATCAAGAATTGGACAAGAGGAACATGAAGGATGTTATCAGAGACATAAAGACAGGTTTGACTAGAAAGAAAGGAGGGCCAAAACTGATGGGCAGCCCACAGACTCCATTTGTATCCATTCAATATCAAGAGAGCTGGGGAAGGCCCCATTCCAGTATGTTAAATGAAATCCGTTTGGATTAGTTATGGGAAGACATGGACAAGAATTGCTCAGGACATGAGAGAGTGAATTGGCTTCAATCTTCATCACTGGAGAAAGCACTTATATTGATGATTAATCAATTAAGTGATATTTATTAATCACCTACTATGTTCCAGGCACTGGGGACACAGAGGCAAAAGTGTTCCTGCCCTTCAGGAGTTTATACTCCAGAAGAGCTTATGTCTCCAGCATGTACATAGGAGGGGGAGGGGCGTGTGGTGTTTGGAGAAGAAAGTTAAACTGCTCCTGCTTGGATGGCCTCCACTCTTGGGTGGAGTCTCTCTTCTCCAGCCACTCCCCTTCTCCTCCCAGTGGGAATGACTTTCTCTCTAGTATCTGAGGCTGTGTGGAGTAAAAGAAACGAAGAAGGCAATATGAACCAGTATACACCCTGCCAGCCCCCACCAGACAGAAACTACTTTAGCCTTCCCTTGGCCAAAGGGAAAACCTTCAACATGCTTTTGCCTTGCTTTGGAAAGTTCTGGAATATAAAATCACTAAGATTATCCTTCATTCCACCCCAGAGGCCTCTTGCCAGAAGAAAAAGAAAAAAAGATCTTGACATTTCTAACAGAAAGTTTATCTTCTCTGTCTCCTTCTCTCTTTGTATTCTGTCCAGATGGTCTTTGCCTAATATCGCTTCTGTTTCTCCTTATGCTGATCTTTGCCCAAATGCCCATGGAGCTTCCCCGCACTGGTTTTTGGATTGCCTCACATGAATAAATGCCATTATCTTTTTATTAAAGTACAGAAGAAAACAAAAGGAAGGCCAAAAAAGAATCACAGACTAGTAAGAGAGCTTTAAATGTTACATGTTGAATAATACCTAAAAAGGATCTGCAGTTTTTCTATTCTACTATGTATGTGGAAATATCCATTGGCCACACCTGTTTGATTTCCTGAGACTGAGGAAGCAACTTGTGCCTAGGCTAAGGCTAACTTCAGGGCAGCTAGGTGGCGCCATAGTGCAAAGAGTACTGGGCCTGAAGTCAGGAAGACTCTTCCTGAATTCAAATCCTGCCTCAGGCACTTCCTAGCTGTGTGACCCTGGGCAAGTCACTTAACCCTATTTGCCTCAGTTTCCTCATCTGGAACATAAGCTGGAAAAGGAAATGGCAAACCACTCCAGAATCTTTGCCAAGAAAACCCCAAATGGGGTCTTGAAGAGTCAGACACTACTGAACAACAAGGCTACCTTCAGCTGTGTACTAGACCTATATACTGGGCAAGGAGCAGTAACAGAAGAGAGAAGCAGCTGAGTGGCTCCAAGAGAGGTGGGGTTTCAGGGTGGCAGTTTCCAGCCTGGTGCAGCTGAGTAATCAAGATAGCAGGCTCAGACCAACAGGAAACCTGCAGTTGTGCCCTCCCCATTGCCCACGGACCTCTGTTTGTCTCTGTATACTGCTTTTTCCTTGGATTTCCCAATGAAGACTGTCTGGTGCTCTTTGTAGGCCTAGTTGTGAGGGAAAACTGCACTATACTGCTTTCTCCTACTCCGCCATCTTTGATGGTCTCTCTCCAATGCCAGCACTTCCCATGGTGCCAGCCCACTCTTGCCAGTGCTTAGGAAATTTCCCAAAAATTCTGCTGCTCAGATGCCAGGGAAGGTGAAGACACCAGCTGCCAGAGCTGTAATCTCTTCAGAGTTTTCATTGCTCACAAGGTCAATGCTAAAAGAAGGAAACACACAAAGATAAAGGTAGCCAGAGGCCCCAGAAAAAGCTCAGCTAGTTAAGTCTTACATTCCACACAGGGATCAGTAGCCCCCATTACTATCACTCAGGTTAGAGAAGGGCCATCCATTACCCACCAATGAATTTACATCCTGTCACTCAGAGGGCTGTATCCAATAGAGCTGCCAGCTGAAAGCTGACTTTTTTTTTTACTGGGTATGTGGACCACAAGAAACACCAACTATGCCAATTGTTAGGCAGGAGCCACCATTGGAGGTTTTGGGCTGCTTCAGAAGGGTTAAAACATAATTTATTCTTACTATTCTATCTCAATGGGTTCCTGATAATGGGGGCAATAACTCCCATGGGATCCCCTAATCACCCTTCTCACAGGAGCAGGCAAGAAGGGGAGTCAACAGCCCCTACGTCTCAACGGGAGCCAATCAAGACAGGCTCAGCATTCCAGCTTGTGCACTCCTCTAAATGCCCCCAAGCCTCAATGGGGGCCAGTTGAGGCAGACACACATGCATTTCCCTATGCATTCTCCAAATCCCCACTCACCGACCAGTGCTCTCTTGATTTATAGAGAAGCACACAAAGAAGGCAATTTGCCAACAATAAGCTCACAGGTTAACTTTAGCAATATCGTCACGACCTAGCACAGCACAAGTGTAGTAAATAATAAGTATTATATTATGTCATCCCTATATCTCACTGCATAGTCACAGTAGAAACTGTTTACAAGCCATGAGCCTGGGAATTGGAGATTATTTTGGCCATGGATCCTGGAAACTATTATCTAAAAAGAATAACAAAATCCACCTTACTTACAGTATGGCACTCAGTGGTATCAGCTTATCAGTTATTTAGAAGACTCTCAGGAAATTAGTCCATATGTGACCTAAACTGCCCCCACCTCAGCTCCGACACAGTCCCCTGGAGGTAGACAGAGAATTCTAGGGAGTTGAAAGAATGAGGAAATGGGAAGACCCCAGTATATATAAAAAGACAGGGGTTGGACCAGAAAATCTCTAACCTACTTACAGCTGGAGCTCTAAATCTACGCGTATCTACACATGCCATTTCTTGAAGGGCCTCAAATGCAGAGCAATGACATCTCTGGTATATATGAGGCTGCAGATGGCTAAACTGTTCAACAGTTTTAATTAGACATTCCCTAGTGATATTTTAAGCTCATCTATATTGCAGGGGAATAGTAACTAGTCGATTCTGGAAGCTCTGGCCTCAGCATGACAGGTGGGTTTTCCCTTTACCCCTGTTAGGGAAGGCAAGGCAGGATTACCACTACAGAACTCTATTCCATTTAATTCAACAAACATGGGAGAGTTAGGACTAGTTCTAACACGAACTCTTTGAATGAGTAACTTCTGAACATCCTTGATGGGCAAAAGGTTCAGAGACATCCTCAACTTAACACCTCATTGCCATCATAACCCTCACTCCCAATCCCATCTCCTGGGGAATAAAATGCAAATTCCTGAACCAAGCTCTCAGGCTTCCTGTTGATGGTGAGGTCCTCTAGGTGCTCCTCTTTATGGATAACATTGTGTTTATTGCATTAAGCCTTGGAACTGCAGAGTCTCCTGGATCAGGGTAGTCAGTAATCAGTCAAAAGAGGTAAGTTTGACCAGTCTCACATGAAACACCAAGTGGATGACATACATCCATTGCCTACCCCTAGATCATGACATACATTTGGATGGACAGCTTAATAGAGTTTGTTCATTATTATGTGTACCTGGGACATAGAGTACAGATGGATAACAAGTTGGGATTGCCTTTGGGAAATTGAAAAGCTTTTAATGACCCAAGCTTCCCATGAAAACAAAGGACCATTTTTTAAAAAATATAAGCATCCTCTATGTGTTGCTATATGGCAGTAAGACATGGAATACAACAGTCAAAAGAATTTTAAAAGTCAGTATCATACAAAGGAAAATGGAAAGATACATGATGAATGTGGGTAGAATGTGACACATAACCAATGAGGAACTCTGAAGAAAAATGGGAGTAATAGATAACATTAAGAAATTAAACGAGATGAAAAGCAGACAGAGAATTCAATTCCCCTGAAACTGTTGTTATGTAGGAGAGAGCAAGGAAGGTCTCCAAGCATGTGGAGCGGACCCCCTGTGGCAAACTTAGTGACAGACTTGGGCAAGAAATATAGCACAGGATGGCCAGGCCTGGCTGGATTGTGATTTTCACAACAATGAAAGGAGGAAACTTCCAAATTCATGAGATCAAATATCCATTAGACTGAGTATCTCCAATTCCTAGCACAGGCTTAGTAAATGCTTGTTGAATTGCATTGAATTAGTATGTCTGAAGTTGCTTCAAACTTCTTAAGCATGACAATCTTATCTGTTCTTTCTTATATGTCCTCCCGTAGAGCTCTGCACACTGTAGACACTCAAGAATGTTGAAAGATTAATATTTGGAATGCTTTATCTAGTTAGTTTTGGGCATTGTCAGAGAAGGAACATTGTTTTCAAAGAACCAGCAAACATTATTAGACACCTATTATGTGCATAGCATCATATTAGATGTTTTGTGGGTACAAAGAAAAATAAGAAACAGTCTTACCCTGACACAAGAAAAGATAATTGACAACATAGGGAGCAAATGGTAAATACCAAATGAATAATTCAGAAATGGTAATGGCTCTGTACGTTGAGGCAGGAGACTGAGGCAAGGGGTACAGCTCCTGGAACTCACCCAGGACACAAGCATTTTTTGAGTGATACCTCTTGTAAACACCTGCCTTCCTGTGAGGTGACTGTGAATATTTTCCTGGGCTTGGAACTAGGTAAGGTGGGCATCACCTGGGTATTAGTGCAAAGGAAACCAGGGGAACCTCTCCACCTATACCCTCTCCTTTAACTGCTAATTTGCTCCTGGCTCCCATCCTTCAGAAAGGACATGAAAAAGAGCCCCAGACCCCACCTAAGAAAGGCTCAGAAGAATGGTTTGACACTCACAATTTGACATACCAGAAGCTTACATTGTTGGATCTGATCAGCCAGGGCACAGCTATTCTGTAAGTCTGAAATTTAAAAAATAACCTTCCCTGCTTCCATCCCTCCACTTTCCCCAAGGAAGGACAGCAGTTCATAATGACATATTCTCCCTTTAGAAACAAGAACAGCAGCATCATGCAGAAAATCCACTTTCCAATCAAGGCTGTCAACCTCTTTGAATCAAGACTTTCTGAGTAAGTACAGCCCCAGCAGCTAAGAAGCATGTGTAACATTTCATTTCAAGAGATAATATTTTAAATGCTGCACCTTTCCATAAGGCCTTGTGCTAGGCTCTCTCAAATAAATTCGTTGGAATTCTTTCCTTCTGGACACTTTGCCCATGCAGAGTTTTGCTTGTTTTAAGCCATTCATCTAGATAGTTGACTAATTCAAAGGATTTGTACTATTCAATTCATTCAATTAACATTGATAAAACATATACTATATGCCAGGCACTATGCTAAGCACTGGGGATACAAAAATAAGCAAAAGACAGTCCCTGCCCTCAAGGAGCTTACGATCTAAGCTTGCTAGATTCCTACAACATTCCACACTACTTTAAGTGTTATGGATGTAAGAGCATGCCAGACAATGCTCCTGTCCCCAAGGGGTCTGTAATCTTGTTGCTGGGAGGTAGGAAGGTAGAACAGGAAGGGGAAGGAAGGGGAAAGATATGAGATGTAGGAGTTAATTAGCATTGTGAGGGCAAAATGAAATGAGCTCTGGAGTCAGCCACTGTTGTTGTTGTGGAAAATGATGAGGCTGGACTAGATGACCTCGGCTCGAGGTCCAAGATCCTATGATCCTCAGACCTTTCACTAAGCACCAAATAAGTGGTGCTCCATCCCTGAAAGATGGAGAAGAGTGAGAGCATCCTGAGCAGAAGGAACAGGTTAACAGGTAAAGGCTCAGCGTTGGGAAGAAGAACGGCTTGTTCCATAGATGGTGAAGCAATCGGGTCCAGAAGCAGACTTTCCATGTGGAAAACTGGTAGAAGATAAAAAAGTGAAGATGGGTCCAAAGTGTGGGACTAAGGAACTAGGGCTTTGTCCTGTAGGTAATGGGAAAACCACTGAAAACTTCTGACTGGGAGAATTACACAATGAGAGCAGCATTTTTTAGAAAAAAAAAAATACAGTCTCAACCATGCGCCAAATGGATAGATGGCAGAAGAGACTGGACCATTCAACTAAAACAGTAATATAGGCATGAAATTATTACGAAAGCCTGGCCTGGCGTGTGAATAGCAGAAATAGAGAGGAAATGATGGGCCCCAAACATTCTGAAGGAGAACCTGAAGAAACCTGGTGATTGGTTGTGAGGAGGAGAGAGAAGCGTCAAAGATGACTTTAAGCATCCTCCATCGAACCTTCCTGTGGACAAGGTATTTTGAATCATTAATTGAAACAGCGTATCCCATTTTGAAGGTAACTAGGGGACAAACACATCAGAGCCGGGGGCATCTCCCACTAAAACAAACTAAGTATGAGGAATAGGGTCAGGGAGACAGTAAAAAGAGATGAGAAGGCACGAGTGCAAGTTCTGGTTCTTCCACTGACCTGGGGCAAGTCACTTGAGCATTTCAGGGCTGCAAAATGGGGATCATATTATGTCTTGTGCCAACTTCACAGAGCTGTTCTTAAGAACAAATGTGACATGGATATGAAAAAAAAACTTTAAAAAAGTTAAAAGTGTGACGTAGAAGTAAAAGTCAGTGGGCAAGATTTTTCACAGCTTTGCTTGTGTCTTGACAGAGCTATTGAAACGTTTCAGAAAAGAATTCAGTGGTTCACGGAAGGCAGCAGGAAGGTAACAAAAGCAAGCTTTGCTCTTTGCCCCGTTTGTTCTCTTCTCTTTCTTTTCTTTTCTTTTCTTTTTTTTTTTTGGAAGCAGTTGGGGGTAAGCACTTGCCCAGGGTCACACAGCTAGTAAGCATCTAAGGCCAAATTTGAATTCAGGTCCTCCTGACTCCAGGGCTGATGCTCTATCCACTGAGCCACCTAGCTGCCCCTTATTCTCATCTTTTCACCTCAAGGCCATAGTCAAAGCTGACTTAAAACTAGAGGTCCTGGGTTCAAATCTGGCACTTATAAGCAATCTGGTAGGTAAAGAAGTCATTTAACTTCTCTGAGCTTCAGTTTCATCATCTGTATAATGGGCATAAATAAAATTTCTGATTCATCCGCCAAAGGGATTGCTGTGAGGATCCACCAAGATAAAGGGCATAAACTACTCTGTAACTATAATGTATTTTACTTTGTGTTACTATTCATTATTTTATTAAATATAATATTCATGAGTCTAACAATAGCATATCATAATAATGTTTCATTAAAAAAATCAGCAGTCTTCCTTGAACCCTTAATTTGAAGGCATTTCAAAAATTTTTAAATAATACATTTAAAATATTTATTATTATAAAATATCAATATATTATTTATTATATATACATAATATATACTTTAGACTAACAAAACCAATTAGAAATATATGTACATATATATCATATATACTTGATATATTGCCAACTATTTAATTTATACATTATTTGTTACCAACTATTTATTTAAGTTAATTTATATATTAACTAAGAACAGCTTTTTACCCCTCAATATCCTTGTTCTCCATTTCTGTATATATTTTCCTTTTAGGTAGTTATAGACAGAGTATATATTCTTATGATTCTGTTTTCACCATTTTGCAATACTTCTTATAGAAAAATTCATTTTTTATGTTCCTCATACTTGTCATTTTAATAGCACAATAGTATCCTCTTACATTCATGTCATCAAATGGATCTGTGATCTTATGAATTTGCATCTTCCCTCCAACAATGCAACCAGTAACCTCCAACAAGCCATCCATGCCTGCCCATGTGTGACTCCTTCCCTGTCCTCCCCTAAGTTAACCACAGGGTGGGGTCCACCCAACAACATGCTGAGTGCATTCCTCAATTTCTCCTCACATCTGGAGGATACCAGTAGGAGCACTGGGGCAGTCTACCCACTGTGCCTTGTCCTCATCACGTGCCCAGCCCTTCTCTTCTTTTCACTCGCCCATTTCAATCAGCTACTCTGATATACCATTGTTTGTTTGACTAAGATCCAGAAGGTTAAGTGACTTGCCCCAAGTCACACTGGTAGTCATTTTTTTTAATGTTATGACACTTAAAATACAAGACAATAAACATTTATTTAGCACCTTCCATGTTCCAGGCACTAAGCACTGGAGATGCAAATAAGAAAAAGACAGTCCCTGTGCTAGTAATCTTAACAGGGGAAGGCAACACACAGGAAGCTGAAAGGGGGAGGTGGGCAGAGGGTACACACTGCCGCTGGGGCATGATGATGCCATGGAGTCAAAACCAAGCAGCGAATCTGGTGGGAAATGAACAGCTGGCTGAGCTTCTGAGCTCTCTTCAAAAGAAAACTTTGGGAGGAATGTTTTGCTCCACTCTCCAACCCTCTGATAGAAGGATAGAGGCAACTGGAGGTACTGATGAAGTGTGAGTATCAAAGTTGAAGCAATCTCTGGTGATGAGTTTATCATGGAGGGGTGGGGAGCGGGGCTGATGGTGAAGCAAAAAATAAGCAGTGTAGATGGTAGAAAATATACTTTTTGTATATTCCCAGGGTTAGGGATATTCTCAATAATGAGATTATTAGATCAAATTTTCATGTTACACTATAATTTTAATTTTTGTGATTTCATATTCTATCAGATTACCCACACACAGAGAAAAAAAAGTTTTGCTAATCTGCAGTTCCCCCAGAAATGTATGAGTGTATCTGTTTCTCTAATTCTCAAGCTGACATCAAAACTTCCCACCCTTCCTAACCCAAAAAAAAGTAGGTGACCCTATGAGATTAAGGTGCTGGCTACCTATTAAAGATGAAATCCAGTTTCTTGCTTGGGTATATCCTATAGATTAAAGGAAGTTCCCTTTCCTTAATGATATAATTTATTATTATCACAGATAGCATTTATATAGTATTTTAAGGTTTGCAAAGCACTTTATAAATATTATCTCATTTGATCCTCACAATAACCCTGGGAGGTAGGTGCTGTTTATTATCCTCATTTTACAAATGAGGAGACTGAGGCTAACAAAGGTTAAGTGACTTGCCCGTGGTCACACAGTTTAGAAAGTGTTTGAGGTTGTATTTGAACTCAAGCCTTCCTGGCTCCATGTCCAGTACTCCATCCACTGTGCCATCTAACTGCTTTATTATCTAATGGATGACTGGCTATATCACAGACACTTTGGACTGCCATGGCAAAGAAAGCACAGAAGGATGAAACAAAGGGATGATCCAAAAACACAAATTTGCCCAATAGTAGTAACAACATCAATATTTCTATTGAAACTATTGGCAAAGAGCAGACAATTCCTGCTTCTGTACCCTAATAGTTTAGGTGCTAACAAGTTTAGAAATAACCATAGTGTGGGCAGAAGAGGCTAGAGAACTAGAGGGACCTGGATAGTCCACAAACCTTATCTTCAAGCTCTCTGGATAAATGAGAGTTAATCTTCCTGACAGTCAGGAAAATATCTAAAGGATAGTCCCAGGTTAGCCACTGAATTGCTGTATGTCCTTAGATAAGTCATTTAAAACTCTATGGGCCTCAGTTTCCTTCCCTGCAAAATAAGGGTTGGGTTAGGTTTGTTGTAAGTTTATATTACAGAAAGATCACTGGCTTTGAAGTCAGAAGACCTTGGTTCAAGTCCCAGCTCAGTCAGTCACCAGGTTGTAACTTTAAGTCCCTTGATGTCATGAAACCTTAGTTTCTTAATCTGTAAAATGGAGCTAATAATATTTAGAGTACCCTACCTTGCAGAGTTGTTGTGAGCACAATGCTTTGCAAACTGTCTATCACTATTAGGATTGTGAGTAATAATGCCTAATTAATCTTATTGTATGAAGTTTTATCTGAGCAAAGGGCCGAATGGCTATATAATTCACCTGGGCACTAAAGACAACCCTAACCAATGGGTCCAGGTTTTGAGATCAGGATGAAGTCCAACAAGACTGGGAGATTTGTCTTTAGCAGAGCCTTGAAACTGAGAGTGACAAGGAGCCCACAAAGCACCCCCTGGGATTCCATATTCTTTGTTTTTCTCCAGAAACTCTCTCCATGTGCAAGCATTTCTGCTCTAAGCATGGCAGGTCTAGGGCAAGAGAGGGTCCACATGAGCCAACGTGACAAAACAGGAAAATGATAAATGTGGAGAAGATGTGGGAAAATTGCAACACTAATGCATTGTTGGTGGAGTTGTGAAATGATCCAACCATTTTGGAGAGCAATTTGGAACTATGCCCAAAGGGCTATCAAAATGTGCATACCCTTTGACCCAGCAATAGCACTTCTAGGGCTATATCCCAAAGAGATCATACAAATGGGAAAAGAACCCATGTGTACAAAAATATTCATAGTAGCTCTTTTTGTTGTGGCAAAGAATTGGAAATTGAGAGAATGCCCATCAATTGGGGAGTGGCTGAGCAACCTGTGGTATATGAATGTAATGGAATACTATTGTGCTATAAGAAATGATGAACAGGCTGACTTCAGAAAAACCTGGAAAAACTTATATGGTCTGATGTTGAGTGAAGTGAGCAGAACCAAGAGAATAATATACACAATAACAGCCACATTGTGCAATGACCAATACTAATAAACTTAACCCTTTCCAGCAGTACAAGGATCTAAGACATCTCCAAAGGCCTCGTGATGGAAAATGCTATCCACATCCAAAGACAGAACTATGGAAGTTGAATTGCTATTTTTTTCTCTTCTGTTGAGTTTTGTTTCCTCTTTCTGGTGGTTCTTCCTACTGATCCTAATTTTTACTTACAACATCACTAATGTGAAAATATGTTTAATAGGAATGTATATGTACAGCCTATATCAGATTATGCGCCATCTTGGGGAGGGTGGTGGGGAGGAAGGGGGAGAAAAATTTTAAAGTCAAAAGCATATGGAAGTGATTGTTGATAAATCAAAATAAATTAATAAAAAATCTAAAAAAAAAGAGAAGGTCCACATGAGCAGAATACGACTTATGGTAAATTAGCCTAGCTGCTGATTTGTGGCTTTGGGAGAGGAGAGTTGCTTTATGTCGTGACCTATTGTGACCTGTCTCTGTGGCTTTCTAAGGCAGAGGCCTCCAGATCTGTTCTGATTGAGTTCTTCAACAATATTTTTATACCTCAGTGGTGTTTTATAGACTCTGAGAATGTGCCAGACTTGGACATCCTCACAGATTTTTTTAAAGGAGTCAATCAAACCCAGGGCTTGGCTTCAGCCAGTCAGCTAGTATTTATGAAACACTTTCTATGTTCCAGGCACTGTGCTAAGCTCTGGGGATACAAAGAAAGGCAACACACACACACACACACACACACACACACACACACACACGCACACACATACACACACACCCCAGGCTAATGTCCTGTATGGTATCAACATCAGCATTACTTCTAGAAAAAGAATAATCCCCGGACTGGAGGAATAGGCATGGAGGCAGATGGGGGACAAAGTTTTAGCCTCATCTTAGCACCATCTTCTGACAAGAAACAGAAGCAAGTAGCACTGAGCCAGCTCTGGGGTTCCAGTTCTTCTGCCTCGGTAGCAAGCACCTTAACGGAGACAGTACACTTTGGGTCTCAGGATTAAATGAAGGAAACTGTTAAATCTCTAGAGCTTCTCAGAGTCTGATAATCAGAGAAGTACAGAGTGTCCCAAAATTCTTGGTGCAGTCTTAGCTTTAATAGCTCAAGTCTTAGTGCCTTCAAAAAAGTCTTAGTGCCAGTCCAAGTTTAAATAGCTTAAAACTGCACAAAGACTTTTGGGACACCTTATATAAGGTGCCGCTGATTCATTGATTCAACAGACTTCTTTGCCTTTAGATGTTTGGCCTCCTAAAGGGGACTAAAGTCGGAGTCCTGGTGGACGTTTCAAACAGTAGCTGTCACTTTCAAAAGCAGGAGTTCCAACGTGACTTGTTGGTAAGTAGCTCTTCTAAACTAGAAAAAAAAAAAGCAACTCTGCCTTCCTCAGGTCAATAACAAATATTCATGAAGCACCTGCCATTTTCAAGGGACTTTGCTAGGCCATAGAGACCTCTATTAAGTTTAAAACAACAACAACAAAAATCACTCCCTGCCCTCAGAAAGTTTACAATCCAGAGCTTTGTGCAAATAACCACGATGGGAATTAGAATGTGATGAGCACATAGAAGAAATGAGACAAGACAGAGAGTCACTTTGAGCTGGGTGCATAAGGAAAGCTTAATGGAAGAGCCTCCAGCTGAGCTATGAAAGGACGGAAAGACTTTGAGAGTGGGAGATAAGTTAAGAAACAGTTCTAGGCATTACAGGAAGAAGTTCTTGACTAGCAAAAGGGTAAAGCAAGCTAGGATTCAGGGGGTAAATGGGAAACCAGGAATAAGACGGTGTCTCCTTCTAAAGTCAGGTAGCATAAGAAATGCAATCAACAATGGAGAAGGTGATGAAGGATAAAGAGATGTTTGAGGGCAGAGAAATCAAGGATGAAGGAAAGTTTCTTAACAATTTGCCAAAGGAGGAGGTGCAGGCAGAGGAGGATAGGGACTGGATATCATAGATTTAGAGCTGGAAGGGACCTTGCTAAAGACCACCGAGGGCAGGGGTTTCTAATTTTTTGTGTTCCAGATCCCTTGAGCAGTCTAGTGAAGCCTATGGACCACTTCTAACAATGTTTTTAAAAACATAAAATAAAATGCATAGGATTACCAGGGACACCAAAGGTTAGTAAAAATAAAGATGTAATTTTTCCCATCCATCTAAGTTCACAGACTTCTAAGGGGTCTGTGCACCCAAGGTTATGAACCCCTGATCTAGTTAGACACCATTTTATAGTCAGGGAACTGAAGACAAGAAAGGTTAAACAACTTGCCCAAGGTCTGATAGGTGATACATGGCAGAGGTAGGATTAGAACACAGAGCCTCTTGACTCCAAATTCGGGTTCCATCCAGACATTTTCCACTGTACCATACTACTAAACTGGAGAGGGATGAGTGTATGGGAGGGGCAGCAGGGGAAAGAGGTTTCCCTCCAGGCTTGAATGTCTGTGTGTTATTCGGAATGACGGGAATTAGAGGAGTAGGAGGTTAACATCAAATTTGCAAAATAGGCTCAACTGTAAAAATCCACAAAGGGAGATTTCTGATATTGGTGTTTTGTTGTTTGTTTGTTTGTTTTTCAACAAGAATGGTTCATTAACACTAAGATATCAAACAGACAAAAATTTATTGTGTTTGCAATAGTAATTGCAGTCAGATTTTCTAAGATTCTCACCTCAATTCCACTTGCATGGTGAAATGGCACCTCTATTACAGTTCATTTCAAGTGATTCCCTCCAAGAATTGTGAGCCCATAAATGGATCATGCCTTCAGTTAGGATGAATCCTATTGGACACTAATTCCTGTCACTTTACCCACCATCCTCTGCTTGTGGAATTTTTTGACAGGCAGTGTGATGTAGGCAGTGGACAGGGGATGGGTAAAAAAAGAGCTGGGTTCAAATTCTGCCTCAGACACTAATCACTTAACCTCTTCCATTCTTCAGTTTCCTTATCTGTAAAATCAGCAGATTGTATTCAATGGCCTCTAAAGTCCCTTTCAGCTCTAAATCTCTGATTCTACAGAATGTGGCATGATACAACTTCTCCTTAGAGATACTTTCAACCTCCAGAAAAGATTATCCATCTGGGAGAGGGATTGTTGATAGTATAAGTCAATAATGAGAGTTTAGATGGGAGGAGGATTTCCCTCCTGAGGTCATTGGGCCCAGAGAGGAGTATATAGCACTGCCAGGTTGCCTGGAGACTGACTGTGTGCTCTGCAACCACACTGATAGAATGTGTTATGCTTGACCTGGTTGGAAGCCCCATGCTAAGATACTTCTCCAAAGTATCCAGATCAGTCAGTGTCAATGGTACAGCATAGTATGTTCCTTTAAATCAGGAATATTCTGAAAGAAAAAAAATCAGGATAAGTTTACTTATTCCAATACCTAAAGGATTTCATTTAAATAAGATCCAATAATATTGACCCATGGACCCACATGGGTTTTAGGTAGTGTTCCCTTTCATTTCTTTTAAGTTGGCAGGAGATAACCATATTCCATGATAAGGCTATGTCATTTTCCTTCAAACCAAGAATATTTACAAAGAAAAAATGAGGACAATAGTTTACCTACTGAAATACCTAAAGGATGTCATCATGATAAGGGCCTCCCAAGTTTTCAGTAGTAGGTTGTGTGATCATAAATCTATTAAGTGTACAGGCCATATTAATCTGATTGCATAATAATAATAGCTATCATTTATATATCCCTTTAAGGTTTGTGAAGTACTTTACATATTTTACCTTATTTGATCCTTTACCACAACACTATGAGATAGGTGAAGTTTAATCCTCATTTTATAGATGAGGAAACTAAGGTTCAGAAAAATTAAGTGACTTTCCCAGAGTCACACAACTAATAAGTGTCTGAATTAGGATTCAAACTCAGGTCTTCAAGTCTGGCTCCAAGTCTAGTGCTCTCAGTTTCTATTACTAATTGATGTATGACTGACAATCAGTTACACAATGGAAGTAATAAGCTTTACTGTTATATATGCTAATTAGATTTTTAAAAATGTTTCCTAAAAATCCCAAAAAGGCCATATCTTGGAGGCAGACAGGCCACATTTGATCCAAAGGCTGTATGTCATATGTTTGGGTTCTAGGAAGATCCCAGCCCACCTCTCTCTGAGATACTATGGGCCTCACCTTTAAGGACCCCATCTTTCTGCTTCTCTCATTCACGTTTTCTCTGAGGGCAGACCTAACAGATCAAATTCAAAGAGCAACAAATAAAGTACATCAGAGGAGGTTGATGCCTAGGAGAGAACTTTTTGCAAGGATGAGCAAGAGTGAATGGAGATACAAACTGTGGTGTTGACAGCATGAGCAATCAGCTTGCCAAAACACGCAACCCATGGGGACCCATTGCCCCCCAGACAACCAGAGAATAAGACTAAAAATTAATCCCTGGCAGCTGTTGAAATAGCACCCTAGTCACCAATCTATCCTCCATCATGGAAATACAATGGGAAGGAAATGAATGGAACTACTATTCTGTTTCCCTCAAATTTAAGCATTTCTTTCCTGGAACCTGGTCATCTGCTCACAACTTAAATAAATTAAAAGGAACGCCATTGGAGACCCACATAGGTCTGTTCATAAGGTTGATGTCATTAGATACCCTGATTTTTTTTTTTTCTTTGTGAATCTTTCCAGTTTAAAAGAAGATGATGTTCTTTCTCTGACAGTGACTAATCTGGATGCCTTGGAGCAATGAATTTTCAGTGTTTCAGTTTCACACATTAAAAAAAAGACACAGTTCCCAGATGGATTTAGATTGAAACTGATCCATTCCATCACAAGTAGACTTGTTCTATTTGGCTCCAGAGGGCAAAACTAGGGACAGTTGGTAGAAGTTACAGAGAAACAGATTTCAGTTCAGGAGAAGGAAGATTTTCCTGACAAATCTGTCTAAAAATGGAATGGGCTGCCTTGTGAGGTAATGACTTTCCCATCCTCGAGGTAGTCAAAGGCTGGATAAATCTTGTTTAGGAATTAGATTCTAACATGCAATGGGATTTTGGATAGGAGGACTTCTATGATGCTGTCTAACTCTAATACTCTATGAGTAAGTCAGTTAGTCAACAAACATTTATTAAGCTCCTCCTACGTGCCAGGTACTGTGTTAAGCACAGGGGATATAAAGAAAGGCAAAAGACAGTCCTTGCTCACAATAAGCTCTTAGTTTGATAAGGGAGAGTCAGTGGAGTCAGAGCCCGGTGTGGTGTGAATACCTTCTTTAAATGGATCCTGAGGAGGTTTTTTTTTTTTTTTTTAAACCACATGCCAATCTGGAAGGGTATTTTTTATTCCTTTGTCTGTGGGTGGGAGATTGGACTAGACGACTTCTAAAGTCCCTTCCAACTCTCAAGTTCTTTGGTTTCATTATTTCCTTTTGTCCTGCAGAGTCTTATAGATGAGCAGCTGAGCAAAAAAGAACACTTGTACCTTCTCTCCTTTGGCACCCATCCCTCAGTCCTCTGGCCAAATCCAGTGAAAGTCAATAAGTCCAAGTGAGTGCTGCCTCCAACAGTGGTGACATTTAAAACAATCAGAACAGGATGGACCAAGGAAAGCAAGATGGTGGGAGTGCTTCCATGCTTCAGTAGATCTGGTTCAAGTCAAAGTGGGGAGGCCCCTCCAACAGTGAGATTGAAAACCATTCATGTATTCTCATGGAAGAATGGGGAGCAAGAAGCACACTAGATAGAAAGTCAGGAGACAAAGCCCTGCAACGACTGGAATAGCTAGAACTTCTGAAACCAGAGTAAATTCCAAGGACCAAGAATTTCTTAGCAAGAAATCTATTTAAAATGTATTTCTATTTATTTTGTTAAATGTTTCCCATTTACATGTAAAAATTTTTATAACATTCATTTTTTAAAATTTTGAGTTCCAAATTCTCTCTCTCCCTCCTCCCCCAGTCCTTAGAATGCAAGCAATATGATATCGATTTTACATGTGAAGTCACACAAAAAAACCAAGAAATCTTCACCTTTTTTTTTTCAGGGTACTCTCTGGCAATCTGATGAACCTATGGACCCTTTCTCAGAAGAAAGTTTTTAAATGCACAAAATAAAATACATTGGATTATAAAGGAAAGCAATTATACTGAAATGCCACTTTCAAAATATTTTTTAAAATAAGTTCACAGTCTCCAAATTAAGAACTCCTGCCCTAGATGGAAAAAGGTCTTTTCCATGTGAAGGCACACTTCTGATTTGCAGAGCACAAAGTCCTGGTACCTCTGAGCCCCAATCCCTGGGTTGCACCCAGTGCAGCCAACCACACTACCCTATCTAAAGTTTGAGTGCCAACCATTCAAATTCTACTGCAGAGAGCACAACTCTGATGGGCTGTTCAAATGCCAAATGTATGTTTGCCTAAAAGACTATTTTATGGAGACCTTACAGAAGGCAAGCACTCATGTGGTGGTCAGAAGAAGTGATACAGGGACATTCTCAAGGTCTCTCTGAACTTTGGAATCAGATTGCATGACTTGGGAGGCACGAGCAAAGGAGCACCCAGCATGGATGGCATGCCCACATCGACGAAGGCATTGTGCTCTATGAGTGAAGGATAATTGTAGTAGCTCAAAAGAAATGTGAGATGTGCAAATTTAGAGACATCTCCACTCCAAATGTTCACGTGGACTATTTGAGCCTGACCTGTGGTAGAGCCTTCTGAGCTCATATTGGTCTGATCAGTCGCAGTCAGACACGCTGTACCTTGACTCCAACATAGTGATGTCATTTTGGTCCTCTTTGAGAATGAAGGACAACAACCAACCAGCCCAGCGTTTGTGTCTGCCTAATGTTAAAAACTTATAGAGTCCCCTGATATAGATCAGACATCTTTAACTAAGGGTGCACAGATCCCTGAGGGGTCCATGGATAAATTTCAGGGGGTCTCTGTGTGTGGTTTTTTAAAATATTTTGATAATTGTATTGCAATATATTGGTTTCCTTTAAAATCCTCTGTATTTTTATTTTATGCATTTAAAAACATTCTTCTTGCCCAATGGGCAATCAAATGGTGCATACTCTTTGATCCAGCAATACCACTAGTAGGTCTGTATCCCAAAGAGAGAAAAAAGGTGGGGGGAAGGACCTATGTGTACAAAAATATTTATAGCAGCTCTTTTTGTGGTTAGCAAAAACTTGGAAATTGAGGGGATGCCCATCAATTGGGGAATGGTGAACAAACTGTGGTATATGATTGTAATGGAATACGATTGTGCTATAAGAAATGACAAGCAGGCTGATTTCAGAAAAACCCAGAAAGATTTACACGAACTGATGCTGAGTGAAGTGAACAGAACCAGGAGAACATTGTACACAGTAACCGCCACGTTATGCAATGATCACCTGTGAATGACTTAGCTATTCTCAGCAATACAATGATCCAAGACAATTCCAAAGGACTCATGATGAAAAATACTATTCAAATTCCAGAAACAGAACTAGAGTCTGAATGCAGATCAAAGCATGCTATTTTTCACTTTATTTTTTTTCATGTTTTTTTCTTTTGGTCTGTTTCTTCTTTCACAACATGACTAATATGGAAATATGTTTTATATGATTGCATATATATAACCTGTATCAAATTACTTACTGTCTTGGAGTAGGGGGGGGAGGGAGGGAGAAAATTTGGAACTGAAAATGTTTAAAAAATGAATGTTAAAAATTGTCTTTACATATAAGTGGAAAAAATAACATATTATTGAAAAATAAAAACATTCTTCTGAGAAGGGGCCCATAGGCTTCACCAGACAGCCCAAAGGAGCTCAATAAGTTTTTTGTGCTGCTGCTGATGACATTTTGCATAACTTTTTTCCCTGAGCCTATCTTAAAGGAAACCAGATATCAACTTAGCTGTAGTGACAATCTAATCCTAATCAAGTCACAAGTACCTGAATAAAGTTCATTTCTGTCATCTGCTTCATCTTTCTCTTTATCTCAGTTATGAAAGCTTATGGCTCTGTGCCGATCCAAAGCCAGTCCATTGCATGCCCTAAGAAAGCTCCCACTCTGAGTCAAGTCAGTAGCAAAGGCCATAGGAAACATTTTAAGTGAAGAAAGACAGCTCAATACTTTGGGTGAAAGTGCAGATAGTTCCCAGGACGTTGAGTAGGAATATGGGTCTCGGTCTCAGTTTTATCCTTTCTCCAGTCTCCAGGAAGCTAAGGAGTGGGTACAGATGTTACAGCCCCGTGGAGGAAGCAATTTGCTCCAAGCTCTGAGAAAAGCCCTCATGAAGAAGGAGCTGAATTCCTTGGTAATCATCATAGGCAGCTGGTAGGTTCCTTTTCCCAAATGGACAACAATATGAACCAAGACAAAAAATCATTTTGCTATGCACATGAGACTATGCATGTAAGAGTGTATCCTTAGTTTGAGGCAAATTAAATGGACATTTTGTCCTACTGCTAGAAAATTATGCCATCTTTCAGATATGAAATTGAGCTATTAATCCACCATCAGATTTTGCTTTAAGTTGGGTTTCCAATAGTAAGAATGGGTCCCACCAAACAATCCACACTCTCTCCTCCTACCTCGCCAGAGATTAGTGGCATGCATTTACAAAATGGTTAGGTAAGGCAAGAAATGCTATGACCAGAGATGAAGTTATTAACTATGCAAAGCTAACTTATCTGTATCAGGATTGGCCTATAAAAGAATTAAACTCATGTCTCTGATCTCATCAACCTAATCAACTGGTTTGTTCTATGTTTGAATTAAATTGTATCATGACTATTTTTGACTTTCCTTCCTACTGCAATTTTCTTTTCATTCTTGGAAACACCAACGTCTTTTCTTGAGATGATATGAAAACCTTTACTGTTTCCTTTGGCCCTTGCTCTGGCCTGTACAACTCTGCTTTCTCTTTGATGCTGATTTTCCCATGGCACTGATTAGAGGGAGTTTGTCTAAAGTGTAGAAATTCCTTGAGGCCAAGCTACATGGATCCTAGAGCTAAGAACACAGTGTTTTAGAACAAGATAGGAAGAATTGAATATTTTTGAGAATCTCCTTAGAGAAGACACTCTGAAGCATGCAATGCGAAATTATTCTACACACTCTTTTTATGATGTAACTATTTTAATGGCAGGAATGTTGGGCCCACCAGACTATATATTTTAAGATATCCCCACACAGCACTGTTTAAATGTCTACAAAAGGAGAATAAGTGGGCAGAGGAGGAAAAAGTTGATGTAAAAAAGGATATTCTTAAATCTAAGCACTCAAATGGTCCCTGAGTAACTAGGATTGTCAGGCATGGAACCTGTGATGAGTGTCTTCAAATGCACACACTTCTGACAGCTTCCCAGTGAAAAATGGTGAGAAAAAGATCATTGAGACATTCCAGTCCAAAGATGTTGAGAGAGAAGAGACAACACTGAGAATTAGAGAACTGGGTATAGACCCATCTGCCTAGGAAGTTCAGGTGCCTTTCTCAGAAGGAAACCACAGGCATAGAGCATAAGTAATCTAACATACCATTTTGTAGTAACTCCTTTACTTTGGAATTGTCTGACTATGACCTGGCTTATTGGAACCTCGGTCCTTCTCCCCAGCCCAGATCAATCTCCAGAAATTCTATCAGACTACATTCTGCAGTGCACCCTGGGAAGGAATATGGTCCTCCAGATTGTCACTTATAAATGTAGCAACCACATGCCCCTGGTAAGTGCCTACAATGGTAGGAAGCTTCTCATTTGGTGGTTTCCCAGTGAACCAGAAAAAAACCATTGCAGCTTAGAGATCTGGACTTAATCTCTGACTTGGAGGAACAGTTAAGAGGCTTGAGTTCTTATGTCAGTTTGATTGTAAATTCTGCCTCTCTGTGCCTCCATTTTCACTCCTGCAAAATGGGAAGCAATGAATTTGTGGAAATTGGATTGATGAAAGAAGGAAGTGTTTGGGCTCCAGGGAATAAGTAGTAGTAGGAGTTGTGGTGGTAATAGCAGTACTAGTAGTAGTAGCATTTACATAGCGCTTTAAGATTTGCCAAATATATTATAAATATTTCTTTTGATCCTCACAACAACCTGGGAAGGAGGAACTATTATTATCTCTGGTTTACACATGAGGAAACTGAGGCAGACAGAGGTTAAGTGACTTGCCCAAAGCTAATAAGTGTCTGAGACTGGATCTGAATTCAGATCTTCCTGACTCCAGGTTCAGTGATCTATCCAAGAGTTGTAAATCCCATAATATTATTATTATTACTCTCTTCAGGACTTACAATAACTTTCTTCCGTCACCATCACTGTAGGCCGTGGTCAGGAACTTTGCAGAAGGTCTTGGAGGCCATTACCACTGCTACACACTAATTCCAGAGGTAAGCCTGCCTCTTTCTTTGCTATCAAGACTGTCCCTAGAAGACAGGTTTCTGGGTCAATCACTGTATGTGATTTCTTTTTGAGGTGGTGGTGGTGATGGCGATAGTGATTGATATGGGCCATAGTACACATATGACCTTTGGGCCTTCCAAAGCACCAACAGAGAGAACAACCCTCATCTCTCACTTACTGCTGTTCTGAGTCACCATCTAACCACTACTTGACCTCCTCCACTCTAAACTTCCTCATTCTGATTGCAGTCTTCCGTCCTTCCACTCTTTTGATGCCTTTACTCTTACCATAACATGATCTCCCTCTGTCAACCCTTTTCTGGCCTCACACTCTTCCTTATACTGTCTTGTATCTATGGTTTGTTGTTGTTGTTCAGTTGTGTCCAATCCTTAATGTGACTCTGCTTGAGGTTTGATTTTGTTTTTTGTTTTTTGGATTTTTTTTGGTGAGGCAATTGGGGTTAAGTGACTTGCCCAGGGTCACATAGCTAGTAAGTGTCAAGTGTCTGAGGCCAGATTTGAACTTAGGTCCTCCTGACTCCAAGGCTTGGAGCTCTATCCACTGTGTCACCTACCTGCCCCTTGAGGTTTTCTTGACAAAAATACTGGAGTGGTTTGTCTTTTTCTTCTCCAGCTTATTTTACAGATGAGGAAACTGAGGCAAACAGGGTTAAGTGACTTGCCCAGACCCACACAGTTAGTAAGTGTCTGAGGCCAGATTTGAACTCAGGAAGATTAGTTTTCCTGACTCCAGGTCAAGTACTCTATCCACTGAATCACCTAGCTGCCTACATCTATGGTAAGATGCTAGTTAATTCAATAACACCTTTTCCTCCACCATTGAATCCTGGTCCTATTGACTTTTTGTCATCCCTATTTTGTTAATATTCACCCCAGGTAATTCTGCAGCCTCTATCCTACTTATGAGTAGCTTACTTTGTGCTTGGAGAGAAAATCATGAAATGGTACTGATAATGTCAGTAAAATCATGCTTCAACTGGGCCCTTACTGATGCACATTTCATCAGACTACTTTGTACAGTGCACCTTGGGAAGGAATCTGCTACACAGATTCTTTTTGTCTTATTGATTGTCTTTCAGATTCCCTCCATTAGCTATTTCAAATCTTCTCTTTGCTCAGACCTCTAACTCTACTCACTCCTCGCAAATCATTTCCTCATTACTTTACTGAAAATGAAGCAGTCCTTTGTAAATTTCATGCTTTTGTTGTTCCAAACTTCTAAGTATCTTTTCCTTTCCTTTCCTCCTTCCCTCCAGTCTCAAAAGAAGAAATGGCTCTCCTCCTTGACAATTCAATTCAACAAACATTTTATTTCCAAAGCTAACCCTTCCACCTGTACCTTCAATCCTATCCCCTCCTATCTCCTCCATGATCTTACTCCATTAATCATCCCTCTCTCTCTCATGCATTTTCAATCTCTTTCTCTGCTGGATCCTTACCCTGAACCAACAAACATTCTTTAAAAAAATCCTTTATCCCAAAAAACTCCTTCCTTTAACCCTTTTCACCTCCTCAAGTTATTCAATCTCTCTACCTTTACTGCCAAACTTTTAGAAAGAATCCAAAGTGGGGATTGGGAGAGGTTGTTTTGCTGCTCTATGTTTATTTGTTACCAAAGTTTTCTTTTTCTTTTTTGTTTGTTTATTTAATTGGCAGTGAGGAAGAGAGAAAAATAGATGCTTGTTGACTTTTTTAGTTAATTTTTTTAAATAGTAAGAGTAGTTTACACTCAATGCTTCTATTTCCCCACCTCTCCCATTCATGCATCAAAACTCTACAGTCAGGCTTCCATAACCACCATTCTGCAGAAACAGTTCTCTCCAAAGCCATTAATGACCTAATTAATAAATCCAGGTTGTCATTTTTTTCTGTCCTCCTTGTTGTGGACTCTGTGATATTTGACACTGTTGACCAGTTATCCTCTCCTCACTGAGCTCAGTTTCTGTGACACTGTACTCTCCAGAACCCATTCCTTCCCTATCTCCTATGCTGGCTTATTATCCTCTTCAGGTTTCTTAAATACTGATATCCCATAAATGAATTTCTATCCATGACCTTCTTTTCTTCTTTTTCTACAATCTTTCCTTTGGTGATCCCCATGGTTACAATTATCAACTCCATGAATGAATGAATGAATGAATGTGTAAAGAAGGGAGAATGAGATTCCCTCCTCCAACTCAGGTGATTTAGTCACAGAATGTAGTTAGTCATGGATAATGAAGTTTTAATGGGGTAACAAACTGTTAAACTAACTGTAAAATGTTGGCCATATCCAGTGATCCCTTTACAAAATGTGAAAACCTCTCTAATTGATAAAGAGGGGAAGAACACGGTTGGCTGAGCTAACAAATCACCCATACCCCTGGAGGCTTTAAATAGCTAAGCCCTGGGGAGTCCAGGGGAGTCGACTACTGAGTGCTTTGTGGAGAAAAGCCCTTCAGGAGGGGAGGAGTTTTCCCTCTCCTTCCCTTTTGGTCATGGTGTCTAGCAGTGATTTGGTCAAAGGCAGACATGCCACCACACAGTTTGTGAGTTTGTCAGTCCAAGAGAACTTCAGACACAATTGATGGAACAGATATACAGACAGACTCCAGACAGACCATGCTTCACAGAAGCAGTCACTCAAGGAGGAAAGATCTTCAAAGAGTGTGATCCCTGGCAGCACAAAAGAGAGCCTACTGTGGACTCAAAAGAAAGCTAATCCTGGCAGTTGAGAATTGAGCTGTGGAAAGGATCAGCCTCTGCAATCTCAGATGAAGAACCTCTCTAGCAGAGACAATGAAACCAAGAGGTGCTGGACCAAGAGAAAGGGCCTCCAGGCCCTGCAGGACCAGGAGTTATGAGTTGCCTTTGCCACACATTTGTTCTACACATGATCCTTTCTACCTGCATTTTAGTTTGAGCCCATTCTTCCCATGATTTATGTGTGTATTTGTGGGAGACTGTACCCCAGGTAACTACAAAGCATTCCTCCTATAAACCTGGAGTGTGCTCTCCCACAATTACACAGTCTATGGGAAGAATGGTATAGAAATGGTGAGTAGAGCCATTATAGGGGAATAAACTGCAAAACTTTTTATAGGAGCAAGGGCAACATGGATTTGATTAGGGTTCTAGAGCTGGAAAGAGGGGATCGGGTAAATGCATGGCAGCAGAGCATAGTGCAAGAAAGATATACAGGATATAAAGTGGAGCCTGACTGGGGCTGCCTAGATATAGTGGGTCAGGTGAAACACTCACTCATCAAGACAGTCCAGACCCTAAAAAAGGAGATGAAGTGAAAAGGGTTAAGTCCCCCAGAGCAAGGCCTCTAGTAAGGAGGGTCTAGTGTATAGGTAGGGCAAGAAAATGGTTTGGAGTGAAGATAACTATCTATGTAGGTGGATCCCTAATTTATATCTCTACTCTCATTTTCTCCCTGATCTCCAGAACCATATTTCTAGCTACCTGCTGAATATCTTCAACTAAATGTGCCAATAGCATCTGAAACTCAGAATAGATAAAACTAAACTCCTTGTCACTCCCTCCCTCCCCCATAATTTCTCTATTTCTGTTGATAGAATCACTGTACTCCCAGCCACCCATACTCTTACTGTTAGTCATCTTTGAGTCTTCCCTCACCTCCAAACATCCAACCAATTGCCAAGTCATAGAAAGCCCACCTCTAAAATATCTCTTTTAGTCATCCCTCCTTCCATTCTCACTGCTTCTGCCCAAACTTAGGCCCTCATTTTTTCTCACCTAGACTAATTTAATAGCCTCCTATTTTGTTTCCCCTTTGCCTATGCTTCTTGCCTCAATTTCTTTTTCTTGTCATTTCTTTAGCCAGTATTTCTGAAACTATATCAAATATTAGTAGTGACAATGAACAGCCTCCTCAAATTAGAAAGACCTTTACTGTTTCTGTGGTTGTTTTTCTGTCATTTCTGACTCTTCATGACCCCTTTTGGGGTTTTCCTGACAAAGATACTGGAGTGGTTTGCCATTTCCTTCTCCAACTCATTTTACAGATGAGGAAACTGAGGCAAAGACAGTGAAGTGGCTTGCCCAGGGTCACACAGCTAGTAAGTGTCTGAGGCCAGATTTGAACTCAGGAAGATGAGTTTTCCTGACTCCAGGTCTGCCATTCTATTCATGATGCCACCTAGCTACTGTTTCTACATTTCTTGAGATAATACTATTTGATTTAGATTTTAGATTTTATTTAGATAGATACTATTTATAACATTAAGAAATCATCCATTTATTCCAGTGCTTTTTAATATTTTTAACATAAAGGAGTACTATATTTTTGTCAAAACTTTTTCTGCATCTATAATAGGCCCTATCCTTCCAAAATTCTTCCACAGAGGAACAAGAGATATAGTTGAATTCCTCAAATTGGCCCCCTGGGAAATCATCTTCAGGATCCAGCAAATTGAAAAAAAAAGAAAGGTCTTAGTGGACTGTGGGTTCTATATAAGTCAATAGTGTTATGTAATAGTAAAAAGAAAAGAAAATCGAATGCAAACTTTTAGGTTCCATTTTTAAGAGAAATGTAATATCTAAGACTAGGGATGTGATAGTATCTCTGTACTCTTTTCCAGTCAGACCATATCTGAATTATTGTGTTCAATTCTAGGCATCATATTTTAGGAAGGATATTGATAAACTGGAGACCACTAAGGATAATCAGGCTATTAGAAGGTCTCAGGTTCATGCCATATGAAAATCAATTGAAGAGTAGTTAATAGACCAAGATCTTACACTGTATACCAAGATAAGGTCAAAATAGGTACATGATTTAGACAAAAATGGTAGTACCATAAGTAAATTAGGAGAATAAGGAATAGTTTATATGTCAGATCTATAGAGAAGGGAAGGATTTTTGACCAAATGAGAGAGAGAGAGAGCATTATGGAAAGCAAAATGGATAATTTTTATTGTATTAAATTAAAAAGAGTTTGCACAAACAAAACCAATGCAACCAAGATTAGGGGCAAAACAGAAAGGTGTCTTTGATAAAGGCCTCATTTCTCAAATATATAGAGAACTGAGTCAAATTGATAAGAATACAGGCCATACCCGAACTGATAAATGGTCAAAAGATATCAATAGTCAATTTTCAGAGGAAGAAATCAAAGTTATCTATAGTCATATGAAAAAATGCTCTAAATTACTATTGATTAGAGAAATTAAAATTAAAACAACTCTGAGTTACCACCTCACACCTATCAGATTGGCCAATATGACAAAAAAGAAAAATGATAAATGTTGAAGAGGATGTGGGAAAATGGGAATACTAATGCATTTTTGGTGGAGTTGTGAACTGATCCAACCATTCTGGAGAGTAATTTAGAGTTACGCCCAAAGGGCACTCAAACTGTGCATACATTTTGATCCAGCAATACCATTGCTAGTTCTGTATCCCAAAGAGATCATTAAAAAAGGAAAAAGACCTACATGTAGAAAAATATTTATAGCAGCTCTTTTGTAGTGGCAAAGAATTGGAAATTGAGGGGATGCCCATCAACTGGGAAATGGCTGAACAAATTGTGGTATATAAATGTAATAGAATACTATTATGCTATAAGAAATGATGAGCAGCTAAATCACTATTGATTAGAGAAATGCAAATCAAAACGACACTGAGGTACCACATCATACTCATCAGATTGGCTAACATGACAAAACAGGAAAATGAAAAATGTTAGAAGAAATGTGGGAATTCTGGAACACTAATGTATTGTTGGTGAAGTTGTGAACTGATTCAACCATTCTGGAGAGCAATTTGGAACTATGCTATAAAATTGTGCATACCCTTTGGCCCAGCAATACCACTTCTAGGTCTGTATCCCAAAGAGATCATACAAACGGGACCCACATGTACAAAAATATATATAGCAGCTCTTTTGTGGTGGCAAAGAATGGAAATCGAGGGGATGACCATCAATTGGGGAATGGCTGAACAAGTTGTGGTATATGAATATAATGGAATATTATTGTGCTATAAGAAATGATGCGCAGGAGGACTTCAGAAAAAACTGGAAAGATTTGCATGAACTGATGCTAAGTAAAATGAGCAGAACCAGGAGAACATTGTACACAGTAACAACCACATTGTGCAGTGACTGACTTTGATAGACTTAGCTCTTCTCAGCAATGCAAGGATCTAAGACAACTCTAAAAGAGTCATGATGGAAAATGCTATCTACTTCCTGAGAAAGAACTATGGAGTCTAAATGCTGATAGAAGCATACTATTTGCTCTCCTTTTCTTTTGTTGTTTTGTTTTGTTTTTTCTATCTCATGGTTCCTATCATTAGTTCTAATTCTTCTTCACATCATGAAAAAACAAAAAGAAATGATGAGCAGGCTGAATTCAGAAAGACCTGGAAAGACTTATATGAACTGATGCAAAGTAAAGTGAGCAAAACTAGGAGAACATTGTTCACAGTAACAGCAATATTATGCAAAGATCAACAATGAATAACTCAGTTCTCAGCAATATACAATAATCCAAGGTAATTCCAAAAGACTGATGATGAAAATTCCACATCCAGAGGAAGAACTGACATAGTCTAAATGCAGATCAATGCATACTATTTTCACTTTATTTTTTTCATGTTTTTTTTTCCTTTTCATCTGTTTCTTCTCTCACAACATGACTAATATAAAAATATGTCTTACATGATGGTACGTATATAACCTACATCAAATTGCTTACCATTTTAGTGAGGGGTGAGGAAATGGAAGGAGAAAATTTGGAACTCAAAAAAATTTTTAATGAATGTTAAAAATTGTCTTTACATGTAACTGGAAAAAGTTTTTTTAAATTATTTTTTAAAAAAAGGCTACTGAAAATCCAGCCTCAGACACATAACACTTGTTAGCTGTGTGACCCTGGGCAAGTCACTTAACCCCATTGCCTAGCCAAAAAAAAAAAAAAAAAGGCTACTAAGGTCTCTTCCACCCCTGAGATTCTGTTCAATTCTGTGATCCTATGACAACATAGTTTAATACTAGCACTACGATAAGTATACCCTGTAAGATATAAAGGTCTATAAGCTTCCCAGAATTAATACATATGAAACCTATAGATGAGAGAATAACAATGTTGAACTAATTATTACAATGACATTTATATAACAAAGATCAAATGTTATCAATTCCAACACCAAAGAAGAACAATTAACAAATTTATGCATTACCCTCTATTCAAATTTAAAGAATTAATAGTTCATTTTGTAAAATAGTTAATTGCTTAGATTACAGTTTCATGCTTTGATGACCAGTTACTGGTGTCCATTAATAAATGTGTTTGGATTTTACAGGTGTGTTTGAATGTCACATTTCACACTGGGGAACCAAGTTCAGTCAGCACTTTTCTGTAGTAATACCTTGCCTAAGGCATTACTTTAACTAACAGAACTTCAGGAATAGAAGTAAAAACACAAGGAGTATAATTCACATTTAGTCATTTGCTAATTGTTCATTCCTTCAGTGAACATTGGCCAGCCATAACATTTACCTTCAATCCAAATTTTTTGGTTTACTCCTGCTTAGGATCAGAATTCTGCCAACAGTGATGTAGTTAAGCTCCTTAAAGAGATTCAGAAGGCTAAGAATATTCTCAACACCATCAAAGAGATGTACCAGAGCAGGACTTGTGAAGCATTCACCAACATGGCACGAGAAGTAAGTACTGAGCCTCCCTGACCTAAATTTCTATACCTTTTTGTTGACATACATGTTCAGCGTTTGCCAAGGAAGCTTTTGGCATGTCATGGGACATTTTACCCAGAAGGAATATGCAGAGAGCCTCTGAAAAATTATTTTGCTTTTTGAGTCTTATCTAAATGTCTACAGAAAGGAAGGCCAGACTAAAAGGATTGCTCCCAATGGGTAGTTTATATACCCAAAGTTGAAAAATCCAAAGTCCTTGCCATCTGACATGTACCCAAAGCTTTCTGAATCTGGTTCCCATGGAAACAAAATCAGCCTTCATCAACCAAAACAATCAAGCCTGATTCTTTTACTTTCTCTTCATTTTCCCTCTTCGATGTGCCCCAGGGAAGACAAAAATGGTTTTCACCACTTTTGGTCATTTTCACTTCCATAAGGAGAGAACTGCAGGTGTTCTCTGTTCCCCTCATGACTTCCATGGAAGGAGGTTTCATGTGACTATGAGATGCCTTGAAGATAATGCTTCTATTCTCCTGCCTCAATTAGAACAATCCCAGTGCTTTGTGGGTATAATTAATGTGAACTTGGAAACAACTTAAGTTAGTTGTTTACTAGAGCCTAATGTTAGGTAGAGCTTCAAAAGCCCTCTTTCTTTTTCTTCATTTCATATTAATGGGCACAATAAATAGTGCATGTCATTTTGGCTTAACAGAAAACACAGTTATTAACAAAGTAAGATTAAGAATGAATACATATATTATTCACCCAGTATTCTGGTGTATTTGGGGCAGCTAGGTGGCATAGTGGATAGAGTACCAGACCTGAAGACAGGAAAAGTCATCTTCCTGAGTTCAAATCTGGCCTCAGACACTTACTAGCTGTGTGACCCTGAGCAAGTCACTTCACTCTGTTTGCCTCAGTTTCCTCATCTGTAAAATGAGCTGGAGAAGGAAATGGCAAACCACTCCAGTATCTTTGTCAAGAAAATCCCAAATGGGGTCACAAAGAATAGGACACAACTGAACAACAAAAATACTAGAGCATAAGTGAACAAAGGCATTTTTAATATAGCATGGCAGGGGGTAAAATAGCACTGGACCAGAAACTTAGGTTTCAATCTTGACTTTGTACTATGTGTTCATAGTCAAGTCTGTTACTCTCTTTGATTGTCAGCTACCTTATCTTCAAAATGAAGGGTCTGGACCAGAAGTTTCCTCCTCCCCTCTTTGCTGCTGATTCCAAGAAGGTTGGAATCATGGTGGTACATGTTCTAACCTTAGAAGTGGTTATAACAGGGGCAGCTAGGTGGCTCAGTGGATAGAGCTACAGCCCTGAAGTCAGGAGGACCTGAGTTCAAATCCGGCCTCAGACCAAACACTTGACACTTACTAGTTGTGTGACCTTGGGCAAGTCACTTAACCCCAACTGCCTATGCAAAAAAAAAAAAAAGTGGTTATAACACATTCATCCACATTTTACCATGATACAAAGAGCATAACAAAAGAAAACAAAAAAAAAATAAAATGGCAAATGTTGGAAGGGATGTGAGAAAATAGAGCTGCAAACTGACCCAACCATTCTGGAAAGTAATTTGGAACTATGCTCAAAAAGTTATTAAACTGTACATATCCTTTGACCCAACAATACTCGATCTACACCCCAAAGAGATCAAAGAAAGAGAAAGAAAACCCATATGTACAAAAATATTTATACAGCTCTTTTTGTGATGGCAAAAAATGGAAACTAAGGAGACATATCAAATTGGGGAATGGCTGAACAAGTTATGATATAAGAATATAATGAAATACTATTGTGCTGTAAGAAATGATGAAGACTTGTATGAACTGATAGAGTGAAGTGAACTGAACCAGAACAATTTATATAGTAACATAATATTTTAAAGAGATTCAACTTTGAAAGACTTAGTAACTCTGATCAACACAATGACCCATCACAATTCCAAGGACTTATGATAAAACATGCTTTCAACTTTAGTTAGACAGCTGATGGACTCAGAGTGCAGAATGTGGCATATTTTTTTCCTTTCTCTGCCTTTCATTTTTTTTTTCTTTCTGGAACATAGCTAATGTAGAAATTTGTCTTGCCTGACTATACATATTTGTAATAAATTTGACTTTTCTTGCCTTTTCAATGGGTAAGGGAAAAGGAAGGGAGAGAATTTGGAATCACAAAACTGAATAATAATAAATTGAATTTTAAATAAATTTTAATAAAATTGAAATTTTATAAAATAAATATTTTTATTTATAAGATTTTAATTTTGAAATTGATTTTTTTAAAAGAACATAGTAAATGAGCACGACTTTATGTTTCTTTCTCATGCATGTACATTTTCCAACATAAATATCAATGTTGGTGGGGAAGAGAGTAAAGAAAGTACTCACAATAAAGTTATTGTGTAGGCTAGGGAAATGGGGAGTGATGACTGTATTAGACAGAATTCTCATTGGTAATTCTAGCAGTCCCTGGGAAAGGTGAAGTGGAGAAGGCTGGGATACTTGTGGTTAGCTTAGAGATTTACCAAATAAGATTTCTAGGTCTACTGGTAGATACCAATCTAATGGCTGAGGACGCTTGGATTTTTAAAGTATTTCCTAACTCTAAAATTGTTTGACTCTATGATATTTTTATGCTCAATTTAGATTTCTACAGAGTTTACAAAATTGCCTATATCCAGCTTCTTACCCAAGCCTCCAAAGCATGAGGGCCCTCTCAAAATTAAAATCCCAAACTTCTTGACCAGAACCTCTGCAGACTGGCTGAAGACCAATGGATTGAAAGGTATTTTCTTCAGGGAGTGGACACAAATAACTAAATACTACCCATTAGGTCTTGTTAAAAATACACACACACATACACACACATATAAATATATGCATAAATATACATATATACACATACATACACATACATACATACATACATATGCATGTGTGTGTGTATCCTGAACTTTATTGTCTTTACAGCCAAGAAGTTAAGCCTTTACCAAATTTTGGCTCCTAATGCATTCTCTCCTATGGAAGAATTTGTGCCCAGTTTCCAGAAAACAGTAGCTTCAACTCTCCATGAGGTAATTCAAGACACTCAGGATGTATTAATGGAAATAATACTGCATCTGGTACAGAGTATGGGTTCAAATCTTGACTCTGCTTCTCACTATATGTGTGACCTTGGATAAATCATTTAAACTCTTTGTGCCTCAGTTTCTTCACCTGTAAAAGATGAGAATTAGACTAAGACGGCCTCTAATTTTCCTTCCAACTCTAAATCTAACAAACCTTTTTTATAGAGGATGGTGTGCTCCATCTCACTGTTTGTTCCTTCAACATGTAGAAAAGCATCTGAAAAGAGCACTCTTTTTGGTAGCTAGATGTTATACATTTTATCAACCTGTCTCCCAAGGAAGGTGAGGACATGGTGGCGGTTGCTATAACCTTAAATGTGGTTGTAATTCATTTTCCCCCTTCTTACCATGATACCAAGAGGCCAGTGCACAAGTAAGATTTGACCCCATTTCCCTATACTGTTCCCCTGTATGCAGAAAGCAATGATGCAGTTTGAATGGCATGATGGAACCATGAAGAATATCCATGTGGACCCACCCCATCTGTATGACTATCAGGTTAGTGATTGGCTTTTGGCCTGATCTACACAAACACACACACACACACACACACACACACACACAGAGTAGGAAGAGTGGGAGAAGGCAGACATAAGAGGAAATAAAAAAGTTTCCCCATTGACTTTATCTGTCTTTTTTTTAATTCAAGGCCAACTTACCCAACTTTTCCCATGTAGGTGGCAAAATGCATAGAACACTGGGTCTAGAGTCAGGAAGACTTGAGTTAAAATGAGCCTTGGACATTTACTGGCCATATGACACCGGGCAAGTTATTTATCGTTTGTCTGCCTCAGTTTCCTCATCTATAAAATGGAGAAAATAAAAGCACCTATCTTTCAGGGTTGTTGTGAGGATAATATTTGTAAAGTGTCTGGTACATAGTAGGTGCTATATAATGGTAATAGTAGTAGTGGTAGTGGTGGTGGTGGTGGTGGTGGTAGGGATAGTGGTAGTGGTAGTAGTGGTAGTGTTATTAGTGGGAGTGGGAGTGGTAGTAGTGGTAGTAGTAGTAGTAGTAATAATAATAGTAGTAGTAGTAGTGGTAGTAGTAGTAGTAGTAGTAGTAGTAATAGCTATTATTTATATAGTGCCTACTATGTACCAGCACTGGGCTAAGCATTTTACAATTATTATTGCATTTGATCCTCACAACAACCCTGGAAGGTGGGCAATATTATTATCACCATTTTTACAGATGAGGAAACTGAGGCAAATAGAGATTAAATAACTTGATCAAAGTTATTTAGCTAGTAATTGTCTGAGGTCTGATTTGAATTCAGGTCTTCCTGACTCCAGAGCCAGCACTCTATCCGCTGGGCCATCTAATATTTATTCCCTTCCCCTCCCCGATGGGATTTATTATTATTGTTGTTATTGTTCTTATAATTATTATTGTGAAACCATTAGCACAATACCTGGAACCTGAACAGAGGAGTCCCCTGACTTTACCACAATACTTACCCCTCCTCCCAGATCCCTTAGTTTGCCTTCCTTGGGAAACATTTGTTCATTGAGTCTGTCTGACCTGGGGGTTTGTAGAAGCAGCTCAGCAATGCCATACGGATGTTCGAGAGGCGGATTGAGTGGCTTTCCATCTCCAGCAGGAGAATCTGGGGCACAGTCTGTGAAAAAAGGTATTTTCTCCTATGTGGTTCCCTGTCTCCTTCATTATGTTTTCTGTTACACAGCACTTCATACATGGTGAATTTTCATTAAACTCTTCATTAGTGATGGTATTATCATAGGGCAGCTGGGTGCTGCAATGGCTAGAGCATCAGGCCAGGAGTCAGAAGGACCTGAGTTCACATTCAGCCTCAGATACTTGCCAGTTGTGTGACCCTGGGCAAATCACTTAAGCCTGTGTGCCTCAGTTTCCTCATCTGTAAAATGAACTGGAGTATACTTGCCAAGAAAACCCCAAATGGGGTCACAGAGAGTCAGACATAACTGAAGTGACCAAACAAGAACAACACCTTTATCAGGGGTTCTTAACCTGGAGTTCGTAGATAGATTCAGGAGTCCGTGAACTTGTACGAGGGAAAGAACTGACACAAGTGACACACAAGAAGTCAAGAATCCCTGATTTAGAACGAGGATAGGAAACTTCTCTAGTCCTGAGAATCAACAGTAAGGGTAAGTACTCTTCCATAGAGAACACTAGTCCTAAGGTCTAGTCAAGGGAGGAGAAAGAGGGGGGAAATGTGAAAAAGAAAAAAAAAAGAGGTGTAGCTAAGTAGAAGAAGGGAAAGTTGGGGGAAAAAAGAAAAGAAATGTGTATATATTAATGTCATAAATTGCCTTCTCCAGCTCATGATACATCCTCTTTTCTCCCTTGATGTTTGTCTGCCTCAGTTTCCTCATCTGTAAAATAGAAATAATAATAGCACCTACCTCGCAGAATTGTTATGATACAATGGGATAACATTTGCAAAGTGTTTTTGCAAACCTCAACACACCTTATAAATGCTAACTATTATTTTTGGAGTAGGAGCAGCAAGGTCTTAAGCTTTTCCTTATCCTTTCCCCAAATACTGAGAAAGCAACCCCTTCCCCCATATACTGAGCCCTTTCCCCATATACTGTGTAAGCAATCCCTTCCCCCATATGCTGAGCCCTTTCCCCCATATGCTGAACAGTCAGCCTCACCCCTCTCTGGTCTAGGGACTTTCCCAAGACCATGCAAGCTCAATGAGGCCTCTCACTGCCGGATAGGAACTTATGTGATGTCAAAGCCCCTATTAACATTTCATTAATATGATAATGAAGGGGCTCCTGGAGAGTGAAAGTATAGATGTTTCACAGTATCCACCCCAAAGGCCCAGTAAGCTCTGACCAGGCGCAAGTTTTTTTTTTTTTGTTTTGTTTTGTTTGTTTGTTTGTTTGCTTGCATGGCACAAAGATCATGTCATGGCAAACTTCCATGAGTCACTCCCCCTTCAGCTCTGATCTAAGCAAGTCCCCATTCCCTTCCACCCAACCAACCAGCCTCCTGACACTGCTTGGTTCTGTTTGCTTTTATGACAATAACGCTACACCCATTGAGAAACAAATCCAACTCTCAGGTAGTTTTTACCCTTCGAACTCACTCTCCCACTGCAATTTTTATCATTATTATTTCCCCCACAATGATTTTTAGTTGCAGGATCATTGACTCCTACAGCTTTGAACTAAGGAAATGGAGGTCAGTTTACTCATTTCCATGCCTTGGGATATGACCATGCTCTAACTATCCCTGTCAAAATATTCCATATTTTGAGACTTCTGGAGGAAGAAATGATCCACCCTTCTCAGGCCACTTTCTCTAGTATTCTAGCCATACCTTTATTGGCTTCAAATTGTACAGATTTTGGATAGTGCTGAGCTCAGCTCATGAAATTCCCCCTGGAAAAAACTTTAAATAGTAAAATGGAACAAAATAAACATTAGCTGAGAGATTCAGTTCTCCTTTTAAAGGTTGTGTTTCTTTTTAGGGTGGTTATACTGGTGGATATCTCAGTGACCAATTCCATGTACATTATTCATATCCAACATTCCTTAAGACTTCTGCTTGAGGAACAATTGTCAAACAAGGATTGCTTCAACATCATTGCGTAAGCTTCTGATGATGAGAGTGGGGTTATATTTATTGGGAGGGAGTTTGTACAAAGAGAGGTTGCTAGCAGCAAGATGAGGATAGTGATAGATATTAAAGGAACTTAACGTCATTTGATGGCTATCGCTTTATCTGATTTGGATGATCTCGTTTTTTTAGCTTTGAATAATTAAGTGGTTGTAGGAGTCCATTGAGGCAATGGTGATAGGTGGCCCCAAAACACACCACTTGATCAACCAGGATAAAATGTAACCAAATCCCATGGCCGGGTTTGTTCTGATGACTCCTATGCTGCGATATTTAAAAAAAAAAAAAAAAAAGACAGATGAACTCTAAGGTTCACACTTGCCTTGCTTCATAGGATTATTTGTTCCAGACCATGAGTTCAAATTGAAAATATTCAAAGCTCATAATACTGCAAACAGTTATCTGAATTCCTACGTTACCCTACTTTTAACCAGTCTTAGTAAAATCTCATAGTAAAATCTCAACTAAATCAGCTAAAGAGTTGAATTCAGCTAAGACCTTCCCCCCCAAAAAAATCATAGAGAAACTATTTTTTACTATGTTCGTTCTACTTTAATAAGAATGAAACAAATAACAAAAAAAATTAAGCTTATGTCAGAGACTTATTTTTTCCAAAAAGCAGTTCCTAGGCTACGTCCCAGGATCAGCTTATAACCAGTCCAATCTCCTATATCTTCTACAGCTAGAGTCCTATAGAATGACTCTAAGACACCAAGGTATCCAAAAAAAAAAAAGTTCAAATACGTGTAATTATTATATTTACGAAAGCAGGAAAGTTGACTCATGGGTCAACAATAGTTAGCTGGACCCCCTTATTCCCTTGTTAATCAAGTTTTATTCTGGGAAAACGTGTGTCTATGCATGTGTGTTCAATTAAAGGGACATTTTTTAACTGTGGTAGGAGTCGCTTTTCTTTTCTTGTTCTATACCAGTTATTGCAGCTAGATAGCACAGTGGATAGAGTTCTGGGCCTAGAGTCAGGAAGAGGAGTTCAAATCCATATTCAGATACTTACTAGATGCATGATCTTGGGCAAATCACTTAACCTTTCTGTTCCTCAGTTTCCTCAGCTGTAAAATGGGGGAAATAATTGGACTTACCTTCCAGGGTTACTGTGAGATTCAAATGAGATATCTGTAAAGCACTTAGTACAGTGCCTGGCACGTAGTAGGTGCTATATAAATGCTAGCTATTATTAATATTATTTCCCTATTAACCTGCTTTAATATAAAACATGCTCCAAAACTATTTGGAAAGGCAGCATGAAAGAGAAGATATCAAACCATCCTCCTAACCAGAAAGACCTGTGTTCCTATCCTTCCTCTGACATATCTTAGATGACTGTAAGTGGCAGAGGTGTTGACCTGAGTTGGAAGAAGGAGTCTCTTCACTCTGGAATTCTCTATTATGCCAATAAAATCACTGGTCCAATCTTTATCCCTATCATTTTAAATAGATACCTACATATTATTTCCCAAATAACTTTTGGTGTGCTTCCCAAGAATCTCAAGAGATGAAATAGAGATAATAATTTCTGTTCTGCCTACCTCACCGGGTTTATTGTAAAGATTGTATGAGATAATATCTAGGAAGGGCTGAGGACTGATTTCATTGTTAAAAGGAGATCCCAGGTAAGGAAACTCCCTCTACCAGTGCAGTTCAGCACCTTCTCTGCAACATATAGTCTTAGCACGAGTGTCCAGAGCCCTGAGAAGTCCAGTGACTTGCCCCAGGGCCAAAGAGTCAGTATGTGTTAGAATTGGGACCAGATTCCAGGTCTCCCTGGCTCTAAGGGTGACTGTCTACTGTGCAACACTACTTCTCAAATACATAGGAAAGCCCTTTATAACAATATAAAGGGAGGGGATGGTGATCGTAATTATGTTGATAGTGACAATGACAGCAATGATGACGATGATTCTCTTTGAAGGTTTGGAAGTATAGTTGAAAGCTGGAGACCCGAAATGGTTCCCTTAACCGAAGACAACTTGCAAAGTGCCTGGCGGTAGGTGATAGGAGGAAGATATATTACTCCTCATTTGTCCTCAGGATGCTCAAGCTTGAGCCATTGTTATTTGCAATCTCTAACTTTGCCTGGCCATCTCTCTCATCCTCTGACAGGCATACAACAGAAAGTCACCTTCCCCAGACCCTCTTTTCCATCCTCCCTCCACCCACAAATTTCTATTTTTACTCTCAGCTTCTCATTAACAATCATATCCTCTCCACACACCCCTCTGAATTCTGACCTTTCCCCCTCATCCCTCTAGCTGGATCTTGTCCTTGAACTGCAAGGGCAGCAGAAATGTCCTCAGTGCTATGAGGAAGGCAATAGAAGTGGACTTTAAGGATAAAGACAAGTTCAGTTCCCAAGGCATCTACATCTTCACTGGTGGAGTACCTGATCAGGAAATGGTATGTAGGATGGGTCCTTTAGACTCTCCAGGACTTTTTTGTCAATGATGATTGACCCACAGGCCATTCTAGAGGCTACTACAAAATGGTGATAAACGTCTCCTGAAATGATCAGGGATTTGTATAAATGAATATAACTCCCCAGACTGGTGGCATTTAAGACAAGGAAATCTCACACACAATATAAGGCCTGACTTTCAAAGAAACCTCAGAAGCAGTTTTCAATACCGAATGTCTAAATAGGTTCTTGAAAGAAGAATGCCCCACTGCACCTGATACAGTGGAAATTCTGATCTTCTGGATGAAAAGGGAAAGCAGAAAGACAAGGAAAATGAAAAGATTTAGTTTCCTGGAACTTCTGCAGGTTTCTGGGAGTAATGCACAGACCAGGTCAACTTGCCTGCTTCTTCTGGAGCAATCCAGCTCCAGGCCTGGTTCAGTTATCACTATAATAGAGGGCAGGACAACAGAGCCCCTAGGCTGTAAGTCAGCCTGCCCCATTGTCCAGAAAGCAGAAGAAATTAAATGGGAAGGAGTATAGAGACAAATGAAGCCAGCTGTTGGATCAGTCTGCCCAGAGAGATACTTTCCAAAAGTGGAAGAAGAGAATGTATTTTCCTTCTATTTCTCCTCCCATCTTTTCAGGGTGATTTAGAATTTCTTTCTAGGATATATATGACTTTCCTCATGCCATCCTTGAGGAATCTCCATTTGAGAGGCCATCTAATCTGAATCTTTGTAGAGTCTTCTCCAAGCATCCTTCCTCCCTTCCCAGGAACAGGAGGGTCTTTAGGAAGCCCCACCAGCCTCTCTTCCACTTAGGTGTTGACCCCTTATTGATCAACTGGCAAGAGCAATTCCATCTCCCTTCCTAGTCTGTAGTAAGATGGAGTCAGAATGTTGAAGTCCAAGCTTCAGGCACCCTGAAGCCTGTGAGCCCCTACAGTTACTCATCTTCCCACAGCCTATGGTCAGTGCCTACGTCGCCGAGACCTGTGGTGGCTGTGATCTGAGGATTCACGTTTGCCTGTTCCACATCAACGAGTTAGAGATGGATGGCACAGTCCCTGCCCGCTATGCCAACAGGACCGACACGGCCTCTGCTTACAAGGAGGTCACTCGTGCTTCTAATGGGAGATTCCACTGGTTTGGTGACACAGGTTAGTGAAAGTCTTGGCTGCTTTCTCCTTTTGGGAGCAATTCTCTGCCTTTTATACTGATTGGTAATTAGGCTATAACCTGTGCCTGACCAGAGTGGTGGCTTCACTCCAGAACAGTGACGCACTACAAATGTACCTGTGAGACACCTCTCTTTCAAAAATAAAAAATAAAAAATAAAAGCCTTAGTAGCATTGTCTACCAGACTATTAGAAATACTCCCATGGTCATGTGCTTCTACACATGTCCCACAAACCTTGTGAAGTTGGGATCTTTTAGCTTTGGCAAAAACGCATCATGGCAGACTGAACCCAACTCACACACTTGAGACTGTCTTTGAAAACAGGAATGTAAATTTCTTAGGCATACAAAATTACAATATACCCTGATCATACTGAGGGAAATTTTTAGCTCAAACACAAATATACAAATCATCATTTATCATCATAACAGGAACTGACTCAATCAGATAAACTACTTTGCAAGTACTCAATTTTAACAACTTGTAAGAGTAACACACACCTGGCAGAGTAGATACACATACAGATATGTAACACTCCCACTCAGGCAAGGTAGGGGAGAGGCAGCCCTAGGCTTCGTGCTGCATCTGCACTCAGCAACATCTCAACCAATCAGGAGTCATGTCAACCTTTGATAAATGTAGTTTGCAGTCCAGAACTGCCCCTCCTCAACCATAACCAGCAGGAAGGTGTTACAGAAAAGAGATGAACAGTGTTGAGGTTAATGAGAGGGAAATACCACATACATACAGCAGAGTGAATATGAGGAATAGATATGGAGGCTGCAATTTACAAGGAAAATTCCTCCAGGGAGCCCACAGACAGCAGTAAAGATAATTTTCCTAAGTTTCCTTTGGACCATTCCTATTGAGGTGTGTTGAAATTCCTCATTAAGCAGAAAGAATGAGCCTCTGAAGCTCACAACCTTCAGAGAGAGAGAGAAAATATGAGAATATATGTATGTGGATATACACACATATATATATATCCACATACATATACATAGCTATATATGTATGTATGTAAGTGGATATAGATATGTACAGGGTATCCCAAAAGTCTTAATAAGACTAAGACTTTTGAGATTCTCTATATGTGTGTAAGTGTATGTGTATGTGTATGCAGAGGGAGAGAGAAAGAGAGAGAGACAGAAAAAGAGAGAGAGAGAGGGAGAGAGAGAGGGAGAAAAAAGAGAGAGAGAGAAAGAGGGAGAGGGGGAGAGAGACAGAGAGAAAGACAGAGAGAGGGAGAGGGAGAGAGAGGGAGAGAGAGAGAGAGAGAGAGAGAGAGAGAGAGAGAGAGAGAGAGAGACTGACTCTCCCATGATTACCTCCTGCCAAATTCTGACCTGTAAGTTATGGACTGAACTTGCAGTTTTTCTGGGTTTAGTTTCTCTTTATTATTTAGTTTTGATCCTAGGTTGAGTGTGGTCCCAGAATTGTCAGTTTATGCAATATGCCTTCATGATATCCAAGAGACAAAGTAGTCATTAGGTCTATGTTCAGCCAGGTAAGAGTGTTCCCTTTTAAAAGAGGAAAAAGAACGAATGCATTTTTTGGAAAAGTCTTACCAACGCCTTCATAAATCCACTTCTCTAATCCTTCCCATTATTCCTATATATCTACCTGGGTGCAATTCAATTCTTAGACCATTTTTTCAATGGCTTCAGTGTGTCTTTCACAAACACTCCTTTAAGAAACATACCAACATACTTAATATTTCACAATAGATTTGTTCCTGAAATATTATGTATAAATAAAACTTTTGTGAATTAAGTCCTAAAATGGGAATAATCTAATGGAAAGATCCTAAAACCGCGAGTCAGACTTTGCTACTATATAACCTTAAGCAAGCTGATTAATCCCTGTGCCTTAATCTCTTTATGTATAAAATGGTAATTATCATACCCACCCCACTCACATCACAGGGCATGAAATGTTGGTATGAAATCACAGATGTGAGTATAATTTGAGAAGTATAAAGCCCATTTCAGACCTAGAAGAGATCTTAGAAATCATCTATGGTCCTAAGACCTGATATTTCATTTCAGGTCTTCAGGAAACTGAAACTCTGGAAGCATGTGCAACTGGCCTGGCATCATGAAGTTAGTTAGTAATAGAGCTGCAACTAGAATCTAGGTCTGCTAATAATAATAGTGAACAGGGGCAGCTAGGTGGTGCAGTGGAGGAAGTACCTGCCCTGGAGTCCGGGGACTCAAGTTCAAATCTGATCTCAGACACTTAACACTTACTAGCTGTGTGACTCTGGGCAAGTCACTAAACCCCACTGCCTAGCAAAAACAACAAAACAGTAATAGCTAGCATGTGTATAGCATCTACTATGTGCCAGGTGCTGTGCTAAGCACTTTACAAATATCATTTCATTTGATCCACACAACAACCATGCAAGACAGGTGCTATTATTATCCCCATTTTACAGTTGAGGAAACAGAAGTAGACAGATTTGCCCAAGGTCACAAAACTATCTGAGGTGGGATTTGAATTCAGGTCTCCCTGAGTTCAGGCCTAGTGTTCTATCTGCTGAGCCACCTAGCTGCCTCCTATGTGCTTTCCAACCCTATGCTAAATCAAAACACATGGAAGCCATTATTACTAATATATTTTAATCATTATATCAATACTGATGTTGATATAACAGGATAGGGACTGGATCTGATTTTATTATTAGTACAGGTCAGCACCTTCTCTGCAAACTTTTGGCCTGTGTCACGCTTTTTACTTGTGTTTTTGGGCCATCTAGAGCCTAGCACATACTAATTATCTAATAAATACTTACTGATTAATATATTAACTTGCCTAAAACAGAAAAAAGTGACTTGTCCACAGCCATGCTTTCAGTATTTGTCATAGGTGAGACTTGAACTTGAGCATCCTTGCTTTGACGCTGCCTTTCTATAATCCTTAGATATAATCCTAATAATAATTATAAGGGAAATTTGCTAAATAAAGGAATCTAAGGTGAATCATCTTATAAAGCAGATAACCAGATACATCTAACTTAGTTGTATAAATCTGAATCAGCATATATTGGGTTCCCTTTAAGGCAGGGTACAATTCACCAAGATCCAAAATTAGTCTCAGGATTTAGAGGTGGAATCAAGGCTTTGTTCTTAGTAAAAGTCAGTGAGGTCTGGTGATAAGAGCCCAAAATGGGGAGCCAGGATATATAAGTCATTTACCCCTTTCCTCCAAATTACCAAAGAAAACAGCTGTGAAGATGGTTCATCTAAGTTCCAATGGTTCCCTGCAGAACACAAGCTTCTGTTGTTTTAATTAACTCCTCTGGCATATAGTTCTTGCTTAAAAACAATTTCCCACAGTCACTCAGTGTTTGGCTTCCAGGCATCTTCGAGAGTGATGATATCAGTACTATCGCCTTGGAGATGGAAAAGGCCATCAACTACTCCCAAAAGGTGACTCTCTCTGACAATTACCTAATTACCTTCCTTCAGTAACAGGTTTTTCCCACTCTTTTCCCCTCCAACCCACCCCTACTCAACCACATACTTCTGTTTTAATGGAGGCCTTCAATATCTGACCTAGGAAGAATTTCAGGCCATTGGAGGAAGAAGCTCTGGGGCCAATGAACCTTTGGAAAATCTTCCAATCTGATCACAAAAACAACCTATTCTGTCTATGGATTAATGAAGTTATAGAAGCCAAGGTTGCTATCTATGCTCCATTTGGGAAAAAACAAGACTGCTATGATTAATACTAAGCAGTGGCCACAAGGCAGTCCAAGATTCTAAAGGAAGGACCTAGGGGGCCCACTTTCAAAAAGTTCCTAAAGGTCCCATTACTTTCAATAGGGCTTGTAAGGCCTGTCATTCTAATAATTTAATGAAGCTTCACCACCACCACTGTCCATGAATTGAACTTGCCCTTAATATATTTAGATCAGACTACAGGTTGGCATTAACATTACACTTCACTCTTTCAGTGTGCTTTGCTGGTAGCATCCCTCAAAAACCAGTCTGGAAGCTTGGCTGAAAGCCCACTGGTACCCAAAGAAGAGCCAAAGGTGTTCAAGGGAAAAAGTCAGCCTCGGAAACTTTGCTGCCCTAAGCCCATCATACTCTCGATGGCCAGAATGGTTTGACTCCCCTTTATTAATAACAATGAGTTGTTGTTGTTAAGTTGTTTTTCAGTCATGTCCGACTCTTTGTTACCCCATTTGGGATTTTCTTGGCAGATATTGGAATGGTTTGCCATCTCCTTCTACAGAGGAGGAATTGAGGCAAACAGGGTTGAGTGGCTTGCCCAGGGTCACAGAGCTAGTAAGTGTCTGAGGCCAGATTTGAACTCAGGAAAAAGAATCTTTCTGACTCTAGGTCCAGCATGTTATCCCCTATACCATCTAGCTGCCTAACAACAAATACCTGTGTGTTTTACCTTGTCTCTTGATCATTCTAAGGATTTTGAAACAGCTGTGGCCAAGGGCACAGTCCAGGGCCCCAGGATAAAGGATGGAAACTGGGTAACCAGTAAATAATAACCAGCATCTCCATCTTACTAAGGGCCACCATAACAACTCAAGTTAGGGGGAGGAGGGTGGGTAGCAGCACCCTGCCCACTGCTTCCAGGAAAGTAGAGTTTCTAAGAAGACTGCTTGTCAGCTCAGGCTATCTGGCGGGTAGACTGGGTCTGCAAAAGACATCAAAACTAATCTAAACCTGAACCTGATTCAATTTGGTTTGCCTGGCTTGCCTTTAGAGGACAGTGCTAGGGGAATGGAGTTGGCACTTAGGATGGGCACCATTGTATTTAGTGGAATTGAAGCAAAGGGGACTTATTCTATAGGAATATCCAGGGACCAGAAGGAGCTGGGATAGACTGAAGGACTATAGCTGAAGAGAAAGAAGGGAGGGGAGAAAAAGCAGATGGTTTATTCTTTATCCTGGGCAAATCCACATAAAGTCACTTCCTCATCTTGGCCATTAGAAGGGTATCTTATTCAGAAGTATCAGATTTGTTTATGTATTTTTGTGTATGTGTATTACCTAACACATGTGAGTCCCCAGGGGGAGGCCTGGGCCTTCCAAAAGACCCCAGAGCTGACAGACTGTAGTAGAGTTTGGGAGTAGAAGCAGGGCAATGAGACACATGCCCTTCATTGTTTGACAATGATATTAATATTCTAACAAGGTAGTTTTCCTTAAAGAGGCATCTGTCCCTGAAAAAATATAGCTACCATTCAGTCAATATTCAATTCCATTTGCACAGATGTCATCATTCAGGGGTTTCATTCAGGATTCCAGGGTGCTTTATCCTTTCCTACCCTGCCCTCTAAACACTTGATGATGATTAAAACAAAAAAATAATAAACGCTACAGTCCCAGGACCTTTCTCTTATCATCTTGTCTAATAGTTACTGAGCCAAAGGCCTGAGGTGGCAGCCCTGTGGACTATCAATGCCTGTAACAAACTTTTGTAGATTTAGGACTTAAATGGGATGGACCGTCCCTTAAGAGTTTCAGATCTCTTACCTTTTTCATATGGGTACACAGAGAAGGGGCTACTCACCTGGCATGTTGGAGGGGACTGAGAGTTGGTTTTGTTTTTTTAGCTGAATGGCTACTGCCTTCCAGTAACACTTAATAACTAAAAACAAAACAAAAAACCTTTCAGTTTAACAAATCGTAGGTTGAATAAGTGCGTGTGTGTGTGTGTGTGTGTGTGTGTGTGTATGTGAGAGAGAGAGAGAGTGTGTGTGAGACACTCCTCAAACAAACCAGTGGGAAAACCCAGAAAATTCTACTCAGTGGGAAAGGTAGAAACAGGTCACCTCTACTGGTGACAATTTAGTAATTTGCTGTTCAATCTTTTTGCGAAGCTCCCTGCCTTCATGGACCCATTGTTATAGTGTGGTAAGGGCCTTGAAGTCCCACACAATCTAACAAAACTTCCTACAGTCCTCATACCTCTCTTGCTACTTTTCCCACCCTTCTCCCTGGGCTCCTCTCTCAAGCTCTACCTTGCATGGATTATAGTACTAAGTTGAGAAGAAGGTTGTCAGGGGCTGGGATATTACTGGGATGCAGACAACCTAGAGACTAAGACATCTTTTCCAGCTAGCCTGTTTTGTTTTTTTTTTTTTAGAGCAGTAAGAGTGAGCCTGACAAAGACAAGATTGTCTCCACAAAGAATCTGACGTGGCACTCAAACACCAGCAAACCAGCCATCCCATCAGGTAAGAGAAGGCACAGGCTCCAGCATGTTTGGGGAATAGGGGAGAATGAAGGAGAGGTATTTACATGGGGACCAGTTCTGTTAAACTGTTGGCAACAGCTAAATACAAAATCCAAACTGGGCATAATATACAATCAATCAGATCAGATGACCCAGATCCAGCTGTCCAAAGAGGGACTTAAATTTGCCAGAAAATCATCAGACCCACATGGCACACTTCAAAAGAGTCAGTGCAGATCTAATGAGTATGTCATGGTGAATAGAAAGGGACCTTTTAATTACCTCAGGATCTCAAAGTCATAACTAGAGTTTCATGGTTTGTGGTGACCAAGAACCAAGTCTTCCAGTTCAGAGTGTAGCTTGAGATTTAACAAGTAGGAATTAAGCTAGAAAACAACATGGTGATAATCAGCAAGGCTTCCCCAATCTGAAATGGCCAAATTTTCCACCTTTCTAGGCCAGCCAGTGAAAGACTGGGGTCCAAATAAGGGAAAGAAGAAGATCAAACCGGCAAAGAAAGGGCCAACCACATCTTTTTTAATTGTTATTAATCAAGGGAAAGATGCAGGTAAATGAGTAACTAAAATGCAATTCTGGGCCCCTAAGAAAGACTATCTGAAAGGGCCTCTTCTACTTGGTAGTTGTAAAAGTAATATCTCTTTAGTAGAAGGGTCTTTTCTTTCCCAGGAGGCTGCATAGCAATATTGCTGGAGCAAATCTTTCCTTGGTTTGACATCTACTAACTTATTGATGGGATGGGCTTGCAAAGACTGTATACTCTAAGGGGGAAAAGGCATCCAAAAGAGACAAAAAGGTATATTTGTATGAGAAGAAAAAAAAGAGGGGCATCTAAGTGGCAGTGGATACAGTACTGGTCCTGGAATCAGGAGGACCTGAGTTCAAATCTGGCCTCATATACTTATCAGCTGTGTGACTCTGGGCAAGTCATTTAATCCTGTTTGCCTCGGTTTCCTCATCTATAAAATGAGCTGAAGAAGGAAATGGCAAACCACTCTACTATCTTTGCTGAGAAAACTCCAAATTGGGTCATGAAGAGTCTGAAACGACTAAACAGCAACAACATTTTTATTCTTAAAAAATAAAAAAAAAAGAAACTTCAGAATTCCACTGCCTTAACTCTCATATGTTAGGAAAGGGTCCTCTTACTGTACAGCTACCTGGTGGGAGTGGAAACAGTTCACTCTGGGAACATGGTCTATGTTATTGTGAAATGGTGCCAATCAAGTTAAATGATTTACTTAATAGTAAGGCAGCAAGATCACAAGCTGATTCATTTCCATATGGTCTCCATTGCTTGGCTCGAATTTCTGCTGTTTAGTGGGTGGTGCCTAAAGATCATATTGTGAATAGAACATAGGACTTGGAGTCAGGAAGATCTAAGTTTGAATCCAGCCCCAGATACTTTTCTAGCTGTGTGACCCTGAGCAAATCACTTAAACTTTCTCAGCCTTAGAGTCCTCATCCATAAAATGGGGATAATAATAGCACCTATATCCCAGGGTTATGGTAAAGATGGGATGAGATAGTAATGAGATAAAAGCCCTTTGCAAACTTTAAAGCACTATATAAATGCTAAGATCATTCTTTAAGAAATGACAAACTTCACATTTTAAAATCAAATTGAGGCTAGGCATGGTAGCTCATGCCTATAGTCTGTGCTACTGGGGAGGCTGAAATTGGTGGCTTGAGAGATAATAGGGCTGAAAGTCTATAGTGTGTCGCCCTAATTTAGAAAGTAGGAGTTAAGCTAGAAGACAAAGCTCACCAGCATGGCTTCCCCCATCTGAAATGGCCAAATGTTTTCCTATTTTAGCCCTGCCAATGAAATATTAAAGTCCAAATAAGGTAAAGAAGATTAAACCACCAAAAAAAGGACCAACCCCAATTTTTTCATTATTTGTTATTAACAAAGGGAAAGGTTCACCAGCATGGTAAACCGCCAGGTGTGGAGGGGGCTTAAAGAAGACTGAACCAACAAAGCTCAGAACATGGAGCAGGTTAAAGTTTCCATGCTGATCAGTATTGTGATCAGCACATGAGTAGCTACTGTATTTCCAGCCTGGGCATGAGATTAGAAGACCCCATCTCCCTAAAACAAAAAACAAAACAGGGGCAGGGAGGTGGCGTAGATAGAGCACCAGCGCTGGAATCAGGAGGACTTGAGTTCAAATGTGACCTCACACATTTGATACTTACTAGCTGTGTGACCCTAAGCAAGTCACTTAACCCCACTGCCTAGCCAAAAAAAACCAAAACCCAAGTTGTGTGACATTGAGAATTGGTATCAAGAAGGGATTATACTTGATGTAAATGTCTTTCTTCTAGATGCAGCACAAAAGAAAAATCCACTGATAAAGGCCACAAAAAAACCTGTTTCTTCCATCGAGCTTCCCAAAAACTATGATATTTCCTCAACTGAAGAGGTATTAAGTTATCCATATAAATAAATATCTCCTGAACAATGGTTTAGCACAAGGCAGCTAGGTAGTGGCAGCTATGGACCTAGAGTCAGGAAAACCTGAGTTCATATCAGCCTTCAGATTTTTACTAGCTGTGTGGCCCTGGGCAACTCACTTCACTCTGTTTGCCTCAGTTTCCTCGTCTGTAAAATGAGCTGGAGAAAGAAATGGCAAACCACTCCAGTATTCTTGCCAAGAAAACCCCAAATTTGGTCATGAAGGGCTAGACACAAGATCCTGTCAATTAGATCAGTACTCCTAATCTTTTTTAGTATAAAGACCCTTTTATAAACATCTAATAAATTGTTGAGGGCTTTCATATGATATTGTGGTAACTCTTCTATTAGTGTCCATTGATTAACAAAATATGTGAGAGAGCATAATTCCTTTAAATAAATTTGTACTTCGTTTATTACAGCAGCATCTACATACCTCTGGGGGAATAAAAACACTATATATGTAAGACATTAGTCCACAGAATCTATATTTACTTATTTATTTTACTCTGTTCTGCTACCTATTTTATTGGGGCTAAATAAAAATAAAAGTGGTAAAGCTTGATATGCACATGGATTTATGGAGTTCTACCAGGAATGGTCCACCAGTGGCCCACAGACCACAGCTTAAGACTTAAAAGCTCCTCGAATGAGTTGGTTTCTTTAATCTTTCTTTCAATGAACAAAAGTCTATTTCTCTTCCTTCCCACCTCTCCCCTCCACTGGAAAAAAAGAAAAACAAAACCCTTGGAATAAATAAGGTTAGTCAAGCACAAAAGATTCCTGCATTGGCCACGTCTAAAAAATTTGTGTCTTGTGCTACACCCTGAATCTAGAACTTTTCTGTTAGAAGATGAGTAGTAATGGGGCAGCTAGGTGGCAGATAGAGCACCTGAAGAAGGACCTGAGTTCAAATTTGACCTCAGACCAAACACTTGACACTTACTAGCTGTGTGACCCCGGGCAAGTCACTTAACCCCAATTGCTTAAAGAAAGAAGAAGAAGAAGAAGAAGATGGGTAGTATGCTTCATTGTCATTCCTATGGAATCATGATTGGCCATTGTATTGATCAGAATTGTGAAATTTTTCAGAGTTATTTGTTGTTATAGCATTCTTTTTTAAAAAATTTTAATAGTATTTTATTTTTCCCATTTACATGTCAAGACAATTTTTAGCATTCATTTTTACAAAGTTTTGAGTTCCAAATTTTTCTCCACTCTCCCCTCCCTTCCCCTCTTTTTTTAAAAATTTATTTTGAATTATCAACAATCACTTCCATAAGCTTCTGAGTTTTAAATTTTTCTCCCCCTCCCTCTGCACCTCCCTCCCCTAGACGGCACACAATCTGATATAGGCTATACATATACATTCCTATTAAACATATTTTCACATTAGTGATGAATTAGAACCAATGAATTTGTAAGAATTAGCACCAATAGGAGGAACCACCAGAAAGAAGAAACAAAACAACAGAAGAAAAAAAACAGCAAATAGTATGCTTCAATCTGCATTCAAACTCCATAGTTCTTTCTTCTTTGTGGATAGCATTTTCCATCATGAGGCCTTTAGAGATGTCTTAGATCCTTGTATTGCTGAGAAGGGTTAAGTCTATCAATATTAGTCATCACACAATGTGGCTGTTATTGTGTACAATGTTCCCTGCTCACTTCACTCAGCATCAGAACATACAAGTCTTTCCAGATTTTTCTGAAGTCCGCCTGCTCATCATTTCTTATAGCACAATAGTATTCCATTACATTCATATACCACAACTTGTTCAGCCATTCCCCAATTGACGGGCATCCTCTCAATTTCCATTTCTTTGCCACCACAAAAAGAATTGCTATAAATATTTTTGTACATGTGAGTCCTTTTCCCATTTGTATGATCTCTTGGGATATAGCCCTAGAAGTGCTACTGCTGGGTCAAAGGGTATGCACATTTTTATAGCCCTTTGGGCATAGTTCCAAATTGCTCTCCAAAATGGTTGGATCATTTCACAACTCCACCAACAATGCATTAGTGTTGCAATTTTCCCACATCTTCTCCAACATTTATCATTGTTTTGTTTTGTTATGTTGGCCAATCTGATAGGGGTGATGTGGTACCTCAGAGATGTTTTGATTTGCATTTCTCTAATCAATAGTGATTTAGAGCATTTTTTCATATAGCTATAGATGGCTTTAATTTCTTCATCTGAGAACTGCCTGTTTATATCCTTTGACCATTTATCAATAGGGGAACGTTATAGCATTCTTACTGCATATGTTGCTCTCCTGGTCCTGCTGACTTCACTCTGCATTAGTTCTTACATATCTTCTCAGGTTTCATTGAAAGCTTCCCTTTTGTTATTTCTTTCAGCACTTCATTAAAGTAATTTGGAGCTATGCCCAGAAAGTTACCAAACTGTCCATTTGACCCAGCTATCCCAGTAGGCCTCTACCCCCAAAGGAATCAAAGAAAAAATAAAAGGATCTGTATGCATAAAAATATTGCAGTTCTTTTCGTGGTAGCCAACAATTGAAAACTAAGGGAGTGTCTTCCTATTAGGGAAAGGCTAAACAAATTAAGGCATATGAATCTAATGAAATATTACTGTGGCATAAGAAATGATGAAATGGAATTTCAGAGAAAATTAGGAAGACCTCTACATATCAACACGGAATGAAGTGTGCAGAACCAGGAGAACAATGTATACAATAACAACACTCTATAGACAAACAATGATAACTACACTATAGAGAAAAACAACTTTCAAACACTGGAAAATTCTGATCAATGCAATGATAAAGCTGGAGTCCAAAAAAATGCAATTGAAATATGATATTCCCCACCTGACTGACAGGAAATGAACTTTAAGGGCAAAAGGAGACATACATCTTCAGACATAGCTAATGTGGGAATTTGTTTTGCTATACTATACAAATAAATAAATGGAAAATTTTTGTACATATAGAAGCTTTTCTTCTTTTTTTTATTTCTTTGGGGTCTAGGTATACAGACAGTTTGTAAGTTCTTCAAATATGGAAATCTCATTCACTGTTTCTTGGGCTTTTGTTTTCCAGAAGCTAGTTCAAATCACTTCACCCACAGGCTGCTTCACGCATACTATATACACACTGTTAAACCTTTTAAACTTCTTCTGAGCTTGACACATCATAGCCAGGCTATTCAATTCAATCCCACAAACATTATTAAGAGTTTGGGGCAGCTAGGTGGCACAGTGGATACAGCACCGGACCTGAAGTCAGGAGGACCTGAGTTCAAATCTGGTCTCAGACCAAACACTTGACACTTACTAGCTGTGTGACCCTGGGCAAGTCACTTAACCCCAATTGCCTAAAAAAAAAGTTTGCTAGCTATGAAACATTGTCAATTCAGGGGTATAAAATGGCATAGTCCCCTGCCCTCATTAAGCTTAAGATCTAATAAGAATGCTAAGACATAAACACCAATAAGAATGACCAAGCGGGCTGTAAACTTGCTGCAAATTTTACATTTAAGGTTTTTTAGTGGAGGTGATGATTCAGTCAACCAATCAGGTACATGATTCCTCAAATAATGTTTTATTCTTTTATTTAAAAGTGGTTGACGAGTTGCAACTTGAAAAAGCTGAAGCTAGAGCTGCCCAAACTCTTGTTTGGCACAAACTCTATTCATCAGAAGAAAATGGAAGATGCCTTACAGAAGCAAATTTCATCCAAAACTCTATCCTACTTCCCAGTCACAGAAGTCAAGGTCAGTTCTGATTTGCAACCTCACCAAATCCTGTATGCAGCAGCTTAGACCAGCCTGCTGTGTTGTGGGGAGCTGGAACACATTGCATGGGTAAGTAGCTCATCATTGCTAATTTATCTGCTGCTAAGATAGGGCCTAAAACTCATTGCTTTAGGCATCTTAAATTAGGCTGTCCTTCAGAGTACAGAAACATCTGTGTTCTGGTGCATGGAGAAAGGGTTATGATCAGCCTCAGAGGCACTGAGAGACACACTCAAGAAAAATGATTTAACCAAATGTATTAAGCAAAGGACTGCTTAAAAAAAACAGCAACTGAGGACAACTGCATTGAAGTTGAAATGTAGCTTTAAAAAAATTCTCTCCCACCTTTGCCCTTACAAACCACATTATCGCATCTGAAAGAACTATAATTCTGGCTCAAGGTAACCAAAAGTTAGAAAAAAAAAGTCAAAAGTAACCATTTGTAGTGCTTTAAGGTTTACAAAATGCTTTATTTATCTCATTCCATTCTCATGACACCTCTAGGAGGGTGTGCCATTATTATCCCCACATGAGGGTTGAGTGACTTGCCCAGGATTACTAAATATCCAAGGCAAGATTTGAACCTAGGTCTTCCTGACTCCAACTCCAACACTCTATCCACTATATTTCCTAGTTGTTCCAAGAATTTTTGGTAAGTTCCTGTCCAATCTAATCCATCTAAGTGGAAATCATGCCTCCCTCACTTCCTGTGATCTGGTTTCCCATCAAACTTTTTGTTTTAGAACTGAGATTGGTCTATTATGTTGTTGTTTTAATTACAATAACATTTGCCATGAATCCTCACAGTACTATTCAAGAGTGTAAATTCCAGAAATATATAGGACTTAGTTTCTGAGCAAAATTACACTGAACAGATGTTTGGGAAAGCATTAACCACAAATAAAATAAAAAGTGTCTAGTGGGATTGGGTGGCGGGGGGGGGGGGGGTGAAAAGGGGAAGGGCACTGGGGATAGGGTTGCCAAAAGAAAAAAGAGGTTCCTTGAAATATTTTTAAGCAGCAGGAATCACTAACAAGCAGGATAGCTTTGAAAGTTACCTGCTGAATTATAAACTTTAAAACAAGTTATACCTAATAGAAATTCACAGTTTGATATACATACTCCTTCTGTTCTACCATGTATATGGAAATACTCATGTCCTTTGGTGTTTAAGTACGGAATAAAAAAATACCTCTGCTTTAGGTGATGTCACACTCAAATAGAAATGGGGCCCCTGAAACCACATACAAGGATCCCTGTGGGCTCCATATTGACCTAGTTTTAAAATGTAATATTACCTATTTTTATTGTATTTTTATTTATTCTGGTAAATACTTCCCAATTACTTTCTTTTTTGGCTTTTTTTTTGGGGGCAAGGCAATCAGGGTTAAGTGACTTGCCCAGGGTCACACAACTAGTAAGTGTCAAGTGTCTGAGGCCAGATTTGAACTCAGGTCCTCCTGACTCCAAGGTCGGAGCTCTATCCACTGTGTCATCTAGCTGCCCCACCCCCAATTTTTAATTTGGTTCTGCTGAGTGTTGTCAGCCGCACTCATGTTTGACATCTCAGGTCTAGGCAGCGCTATAAGACTATACGTTTCAGGGACCAAGAAGTTCTCTATAGCAAGTCCAGTTCTTCTCCCTTAAGTAGTGGATGGGAATCAGAAGAAATATTTCTCCATTTGTCTTATGTGCTTTCCCCATCCTAGTGCATGATAAAGCATCTGCAGTGCCAGGATAAGGATTTAGAAGAGTACATGGAACAGACAGAGAAAGCAAAAAAGTGTTATATCAAACGGATTCAGTGGTTGCTGACAGGTAAATTTCTCAACCTTAAAGAGTATTTGGGAAGCAGGGAATAATAGCATAGAGGCAGCCTCATGTTATCAAAGCCCAAATTTTAATTCCAAGATCTTTTATAACCTTTCCTTTTCCTGACTTAGCTTCCAAGTAATGAGAATCATTAAATCAATCAATAAACATTAAGTGTTTACTATGTGCCAGGCATCCTGATATGTGCCAGGGCAAAAAAGATAAAGGAGAAACAGTCCCTGCCTCACAATGCTTACATTCTAACAGGGGAGACAACACAGAGCTCATGAGTACATACAGAATATATGCAAAATGAACTAGCCACTGGGGGGTGGAATGGTGGGAAACAGAGGGCATTAAATGTTTTATTGTATTTTTATTTATTTTGTTAAATATTTCCCAATTATATTTTCTTTTGGTTTGGCCTGCCCTTAGAAATGTTCAGACTGTCCCTTTGTTTAACACCTATGTTCTAAAGCATTCCCTCCTAATAGTACGTCAAGATACGAGAATGTGTTACTAGGACATTCTTTTCATAACATGATGTCTTGCATTTCCTTACTTCACTTGGCCAGTTGTTTTTGTTTGTCTGTTTCTTTGTTTTTTCATAAGTGTGAAGATGCAGAGAAGGGGGTACGTATGTGTACAATGATGGTCAAGGGAAATGAGGATATCTGCTCAGAAAGTCAGTCAATCTCACACAAACTGGCATCCCCCATTTCTTCTCCCCATTCTCTCTGTCCTCTTGTTCTGGGTACATTTTGGTGTGCCCTGCTCAGGTTACCATGGCTAGGAGAAACATACATTGTGAAGGGTACATGGTACATATAGTGAGTCTCACACAGTGACATTCTTCAACCTTTAACTAAAAACAAAAAGGAAAATAAGGCTGAGGATTTCTCTGTAGGTGGGCTTTCCAGACACATCCGGGAGTCATAAAGTCACATAGTATTAGAACTAGGTCTTCTTTCCCAACCCACTTGTTTTGCAGATGAGAAAGCTGAGGCCTAGAGACATTACATAATTTGCCCAGCATCACATAATTAGTTTGTGACAGAGCCTAGACCAGAACCCAGGACTCCAGACTCTCAATACAGTGGTCTCCAGAAGTCTCCCAGAAGGAGATCCCTCCCTGAACTTTAGAAGTAGGATGTCATCCGAGAAAGGCTCAATCAATAAAAATGTATTGAAGACTTACTATGCTAACATATCGTGCCTAAGCACTGTGGTATATGCTATGTGAAAAACCGTAAGTTATACCTCATTCCTCTTCTGGTCCCTATATTCATCAGGAAGCCGACGACTATTTGGCACTATTTTGGAGAACAAGGTCTGTGTCATGATAGACCTATCAGAGTCCATGGGGTTATATCTGCAGCAGTTAAAGAAAGAACTGAATTTGCTGATTTGGGAACAACTGAGAAAATGTGACAGGTAAGAATAACGAGCCCTAGGAAGAAGGAAGCCTGTCTAGAGATGGAGAGAACTTCCTGCCAAAAGATTTTGTGATTCAGTAAACAACCACTCCATAGTCAGTTTATGGCCTAGTTAGTATACTTTCATCAAGCAAGCAAGGAGATGAGTGTTTCTAAAATGTCCTTTGAAATTCCCAGAGCGGAGGTTCTCTAACTTTTTGGCATCAAGTAAAGTTATTACTTACTCTTAAAAATTATTAAAAACCCTAAAGAGCTTTTGTTATTTTAGCTACATCTATTGACACCATATTAGAAATTAAAACTGAAAAATTTTAAAATACTTATTGTCATTTTAAAATACATGTTAACAAATAACATATTTTATGAAAAAACTATTTTTTAAAAGTTAGTGATATATGCATGGCATTGCTTTACATATTTTGTAAATCTCTTTAATGACTGCTTTAATAAAATCTGCTTCTGCATTCAATCTGTTGTGATATATTGTTTTGATTAAAGTATATGAAGTAAATCTAGCCTCACATATATGTAGTTGGAAAAGGGGAGAGTATTTTAATAGACAAACAATGTCTTTGTTTTATTGTAAAAATAGTTTTGACCACTTGAATGGCCAAAAAGGGCCTTAGAGACCATATTTTGAGAATCACTGGGCTAGATGAATTGCAAAATGCTGACACTGAGCTCTGTTTAGGAAATTAAGCAATTTCCAAAATATCATCTCTATTACTCATCTTTCTACTTGTCTCTGTTAATTCACTCCAGGGAAAATTTTTTCTTGTTTTCTCAAAAGCTAAAATTGACCTAGAAAACAATAAAAACTTTAACAAAAGAAGAAAGGAAAAGAAAACACAGGTAGGGAAAAAAGAAAATACAGGTAAAGCTTTGTTTTCCCCACACAAAATGAACGAGGCCTAATTTCCCAACGTCATGCCATCTGTTTACCTCCTCCCAACATCCAGTAATGTCTATTATGTTCTAACCAAAAGATTTCTCTCTCTCTTTCTCTTCCCATCTCTGTCTCTGTCTCTCTCTCCCTCTCCCTCTTCTTCTTCATCTCCCTCCTCCTCTCTTCCCCCCACCCTGAAACTTACATCCTCCACTGCTCCACTCTCTTCACCCCAAGCTTTAACCTGCTCGGTTTTGCAGAAGACCTATATGCATGGCAAGACAAATTGGTAGATTCCACAGATGAAGCATGCCACAGTGCTGTGCAGTGGGTGACCAAACTGAAAGCTCAAGGAAGTACCTCCATCCTGAGAGCTTTATTGGCAAGTTCTATCACCTTCCCTGCCCTCTCCCTCCTCCCCTAACTCCTGGCCCTTGCCCCCAAAGGAATGGAAACAGAAAAAGAGAGTCCTGAGATATGTTGGGATGACTGGGCAGTACTTTGGTACTCAATGACAAGTCTCTGGGAACAAAATGTAGATAACTGTTGAACTCTTGAGTTCTAACCCATTCTTAATGATGGTGGTGGGCCTTGGACCCTTTAGCTCTCTAAACCTCATTGTGCTTTTTTTCAGAAAGCTTTCACTTTTCAAGATGTAAAAGGACTGTATCTTCTGACTGATGGAAAGTTGGACTTGAACTGCAGTCTTATTCTAAATGAAGTTGAAAAGCTCAGGAAGAAAAAAAATATTAAAGTACATTCCATTTCTTTTAACTACTCATCTAAAATGGATCAGGAGACAAGGTAAAAAAGCAGGAACCTCGTATTTAAAAAAAGTTTGTAATCATTTACAACATGATTTAGTTTTGAACTCTCTGAAGTATATAGACAAAACCTTCCCTGGTAGGTCCTACTTATGGGTACTCAAGGAGATTGATTAATTTTTCCAAATTTTCATCGACTTTTCCAATTATCATGTTAGGGTACCTTTGGTAATATTTTTAACACACACTAACTACATCTAACACCTAACCTACCCAACTGAGGATCCTTTGTATATGTAAGCCAATTAATTAATCAATAAGCATTTATTAAGTGCCTAAGTGTCAGGTACTGTGCCAAGTGCTGGAGATACAAAAAGAGACAAAAGACAGTCCCTGCCCTCAAGGAGCTTACAATCTAATAGATAGATAGATATTGATAGATAGATATGCAAATAAATATATTCAAATGCATGTAAATAAACATATTAAAAAAGCTATATTTAAGATAATAGGAAAAAATTAACAAGAGGTAAGGCACTAGAATTATGAGGGGTGCAGGAAGACTTCTAGTAAAAGAAGGAATTTTAGTTAGGAAGGTCAGGAATCAGAGCAGGGGAAAGAGAGCATTCCAGGCATGTGAGACAAAATGCCTATAGCCAAGATATAGAGTGCCTTGTTCACGGAATAGCCAGAAGGTCAGCGTCAATGAATCCAAGAGTATGTGGCAGGGAGTAAGATGTAAGAAGATTGGAAAGGTAAAAAGAGGCTAGGTTATGAAGGACTTTGAATGCCAAAAAGAACATTTTGTATTTGCTCCTAGAAGTAATAGGGAGTTACTGGAGTTTACCATGTAGGGAGGTGACATGATCAGACTTGTGTATCTGGAAAATCACTTTTAGTGGCTGAAGGGCTGCAGATTCTCTTCAGGTCCCTAAAAGGGAGAAATACTTTAGAAAGAATCTGACATAATAGAGGAGCCAGCATAGCAGTCATGTGCCAATCTCCAGCTTATCATCTTGAAGACTTTATGGAATTTCCCCCTTGAATGAGACCTGAGCCTCTCTCTCTTGGTTGAGCTGAGGTACCTCACGCCCAATGGGAAAGTTCATTCACTCTCTATATTGTATGGCATATATTCTCATCTGTGTCTTCTCTGACTTGTTTGCTATTAGCTTGGATAAATAGGGTTGCTATTTGCTATGTATGTTCATTGTGAAACTGGTATTACGGGGGAAAGAAGTGAAGTCTTGGATGTATAGCTTGAGATAGTCCTTTTCTATTAAAGGATATTGATCGGGAACTCAGCTGGGACCTAAAAATTATTTCCCTTAGACTTATAATATTTAGAAGGCAGATTGCTACAGTAGGAAGAAACTGACATGATGGAAATGCCAGCTTCTCTACCTGTCTGCTTTTTCCCAGAGAATTCTCTTCCTGTAGGGACCTAAAGAGAATCTAAAACCATCTATCTTCTTTCTTAAAGCTTAAAACCAGAAGATCAGGATGTCTCTTCTCTCAAGCTCTTGCCAACTCTCCCTTTCATGGAGCACTGAATATAATCAATCTCCACCAATGAGGAGAATCTCGTGCAAATGGGCTTTGAAGCCCAGGTTACATACACAAAAATGGCATGGTGATTGATCTTCCATCAGTGGGTCATGAATTTTGAGTCTATTTATTTTCCCCAGGAGAGTAAATAGATTCATTCTGTTACATCCACATTTTTTTCTCCCTCTTAATCCCCACCCTTCTCCAATCTATGATCAATGGCACACATGGACAAGAGAAAGAAGCTTGGATCTGGAGTTAGAGGACCGAGGCTTCCCATCCCAGTCCTACTGCTTAGTACCTATGTGACAAGTTACCCACCCTCTCTGGAGTTCAGTTTTCTACTTTGTGAAAAGAAAGGGTTGAACTACATGAATTTTAGGATCCTTTCCAGCTCTAAATCCTGTGATGCATATGATGTACAAAAACTCTCTGGAAACTAGAGACACAAATCCTATGGTCATGGAACGCAGCAGAGCTGATTAAAGACCCTCGTTAAAGAATTTGCTGAATGCTGCCTTGCACTTGTGCACATGCACACAAACACACACACACAAGTTTTGGATGCTATTGTATCTGATAGCAGCAAACTTCAGGAGTATAACAAGGTTGAGGATCATGTCTATAAATGGTATTAGTGGCTTCCTTCTTAATTATACTTCATACGGCCTAAAAGACAGCATGGTAGAGAGAAAAGGGTATTGGAGTCAGAGGTTGTTGTTCAGTCATTTCAGTCATGTCCAACTCTTTGTGACCTCATTTTGGGGTTTTCTTGGCAAAGATACTTGAGTGCTTAGCCATTTGCTTCTCCAGCTCATTTTACAGACAAGGAAACTGAGGCAAGTAGAGTTAAGTAACTTGCCCAGGGTCACACAGTCAGTAAATGTCTAAGGGCAGATTTGAACTCGGGTCTTCCTGTTTCCACTGTGCCTCCTTAGTCAGAGGACTTAGGTTCAATCTCACCTCTGACCCTACTTAAGTGACCATGGACAGGTCAGTCACTTAAGTTGTCTGGGCCATGGTTTCCTCATCTGTAAAATGAGAGGGTTGTACCCCCTGAGACGGACTCAGGATGAAGAATGAAGGATATGTCTTTGGATATGGACAATGTGGAAATTTGTTTTGTTTGGTTGTGTGTGTCTATCACAGTGGTTCTGATTTTCTTTTTTTTTTAAATGAGGAGGTAGGAGGGAGTAAGAGGATAGAACTAAGGTTCTTATCCCTCTTCCTCCCCCCCAAAAAATAGAAGTCAGTTAATCAACAAGCATTTATTAAGCTCTTACTATGTGTCAGGCACTGTACTAAGCTCTGGGTATTCCAAGAAAGGCAAAAAACAAGGTCCCTTCCTCAAGGTGTTCACATTCTAATGAGGACAACAACATGCAAATAACTATATAGAAACAAGATAGATATGTATATATATATATTACATATATATATATATATAAAAACAGGGTATATGGAAGATGATCTCAGGGGGAAGGCACTAGAAGAAAACAGAAGGAAGACAAGAAAGGAACACAGACAAGGAGGACAGCTTTGAAAGTTAGGTGTTGGGGCAGCTAGGTGGTGCAGTGGATAAAGGACCGGCCCTGAAGTCAGGAGGACCTGCGTTCAAATCTGGCCTCAGACCAAACATTTGACACTTACTAGCTGTGTGATCCTGGGCAAGTCACTTAACCCCAACTGCCTTAAAAAAAGAAAATTACTCAAAAAAAAAAGTTAGGTGTTGAATGTATTATACATTTGAAAACAAAAGCACTCTATATAATAGAGATTCACAGACTCCTGTACAATCTTCTCCTTTTCCAAAATGTATTTGGAAATGGTCATTTAATTTGGCATATGTTAAATTAAGAATAAAAAATAAAATGGAAAAAGACAAAATTTTTAAAATAAAATGAGATGGTTGTATTAGATGGCCTCTGAGATCCCTTTCAGTCCTGCATCTATGATTGTTATATCCTTTATATAATTTTTCTGTATCATGAGACGGTGCTAATGTGCAGTAATTAGCAACTTGTACCATCTGCCAATAACTCAGCAACTTCAGTCTTGATTTACTCCTCTCTAGATCAGTGATTACATTTCTGAAAAAGCTATCTAATAATACTGGGGGGCGCTACCACCACTGTCAAATGGAGTTGGAAGACTGCATGGAGATTCATAGAATGCTGACTGAAGACACTACTGAAAAAAATGTATGTCTGTAGAGTTTTGTCCTGGGATATTTTTCCTCATCAATACTTATTTTACCTTCCTCAACTTAAAATCCACCTTTTTTTTTTTTTAAGCTAAAAGATACAAGGGACATGAGGCAGAAACTCTTTGGCTTCCCAGGCCTCTCTCCCTTTGAGTTCCAGGCAAAGGAAGGTGGGAGGATGGAGAATAGTAGGGACATAATTTCTATTGTTTTGTAAAAATCCTAGTTTGGCTATAGTGAGATTTGACTGAAGTAAAGTTAAAAATTATTTCGCTTTACTTCCATCTGTAGTCTGACCTGTGTTAAAAAAAAAAATAATCACCTGGGGCAGCTAGGTTGCACAATGGATAGAGCACTGGTCCTAGAGTCAGGAAGACCTGAGTTCAAATCCAGCCTCTGACCAAACACTTGACACTCACTTAACTCTTCTGGGTCTATTTCCTCATCTAGAAAATGAAGGGATTGGACCCCATAATCTCTAAGGTCCCTTCCAGTTGTGATCCTATGAACAATGGAAAGAACTGTGCTGGGGAGCAATGAGCTCCCCAAACATGTTCAAAGACTGTATAACTGCAGGTCAGCTCATCAACAAGCATTTTTTTAAATTGATTTTTAGGCAATTGGGGTTAAATGACTTGCCCAGGGTCACATAGCTAGTAAGTGTCGAGTGTTCGGTCTGAGGCCGAATTTGAACTCAGGTCCTCCTGACTTCTGGGCTGGTGCTCTAACCACTGTGCCACCTAGCTGCCCTTCAACAAGGATTTTTTAAGCAACTACTATGTACCAGGCGCTGTGCTAAAGTCAGAGGTATAATCGAAGGAATTCCTACATTGGGTGGGAGGTTATACTAAAAAAGACTTTAATCTGATGGCCTTCTCATTGTTTCCCCTGCAAAGGATTCCTTCTTGCAATTATTTGAAGGAGATGACCTAAAGAAACTTGTTCGAGAGATACTCAAAGCCAAGCATTTCCTAAAGCAGGCCCAGTCTTTCAGGTACAGATGCTCTGGGAATATTTCGCTGGAAGGATGTTCATGCCAGAAACACTAAGAAGGAAAAAAAAAGAAACAGGTGGAATGGGAAACAGCAGGTAGTGTCAGAATGAACAGGATAGGGGCTACATGTAGAGTGGAGTAAATTCACCATGGACAGAGAGAAGGGTGTAACAGAAATGACACTGGACTTGGAAGCCCTGAGTTCAAATACTGAATTTGCTGGTTACTAGCCATGCAATAATTTACTTTTGCACCTTGGTGCTTTTAGTTTACTGGTGAAAATAATACATGACATTGCGCATAGGTATTTTCTAAGAAAAATGCTTGATAGACAGAAAGTGCTATATAAGAATGATTTATTACAGAGATACTTTGTGCTGTCAGAGGCAATGTGGAATAGTGGAAAACACACTGGATCTGGACCTGGGTTCAAATCCCATCTCAGACCCTTGCTATCGATGAGATCTTAGATAACCTTTAGATAACCCTTAACCTCTCAAAGCTTCAGTTTTTTCATCTGTAAAGTGGAGATAATAATAATGAGGTTTTATTAGTATAACTTATATGTAATGTATAATTAGAATTTATATTGCAAATGTTAATTATAATTTATAATTATATAGTATAATATATAATTATATAGTATAATTTATAGGGGGTGGCAAGAAGCACCCCTCCCCCAATGCTACAACGTCTAACATTCCACTATTGAAGAGATTCATCATCACTTTGTGTTGTGTTATTACTTCTCTTTGGGTCCTCTTAAAATAAAATCGATCTTCCGAAGGGATAATATCATAGAATTAGTGGCATTCTTCACTAACATGCTAATACGAACAAGTTTCTCAGATCCTCTACTCTCTGAGTGGTACTAAGTAGAAGTGAAGGGTCTGCATCACAACACTGGCTATCTACAGGGAGGAAGGTTTTATTGAATGAGAAGAAAAGGGCCATGATAAATTGTACTGACTTCATAACCTTTCTGTGGCCTAATCCTGAAGATGAGAATGTGATGTAGCTAGCAAGGGTAAAGTCATAGGGATGATCCTATCCATTGCTTCTCCTCCCCTTTTTCCTCTCCCTTTGTCACAGGTGCTACCTCCTACGCTTTCTCTTTAGGCCATGTTGGGGTGATAGTGAGAATTTGTTCTAGTTCATCGCACAATTTGGCTTCCCACCAAGGTGGACCATATCACTAGCAGGGTACTATTTCCCTAAAAGCTAGTGGCCAGAAGAACTAGGTCAGGCTCAGAAATGTGGGCATCCTGACACATACCTTCTGGAAGGAACAGATACAATATCTCCTCTTCCTTCCTCTTCTCCTTTTTTTTCTTCTTATTTCCCTTCCTTCTAAATTGAACCCTTTTTTTTTCAAATTAGAAAAATACTACAGAAGAACAATATTGAAGAAGTAAACATTCCTGTTTAGAAAAGAGCTTTCAGGTAAACTGTGGGAACTTATCAAATATTAGCAAAACTGAGACAGTTTTTTGTAGTGGAAAGAGCACAGGATTTGGATTCTAAAGACCTGAGTGTGAATACTACCTCTGCTACTTACTACCAGTAAGACTTTCCAACTGTAGAATTCCAGGGGGTTTCTTTTCTGCAGGAAAAATAAAACTGTGCTGCCAAATCTAGGTTACCTGAAATGATGGGGGACAAAGATGACCTGCATAGCTGTAATTAATAATCCAAAATGCCAGCTGACCACAAGCACTAGACTAATTAACAGGAAACCAGAGGGAGTTGAAGAATTACAGGATTTGCAATTTGTGTTTTGGGAGAGTTTCTGGATTCTGGTCCCAATAAATAGGCTCCATGAAAATTGGGCTAGGTTATTTTTGGTTTTGAGTGTTGTGTTTTGTTTTGTGTCAAATAATGGCCTATTTTTACCTTTTTTTCCCCTCCATGCTTTCCTCTGTGCCCTCTTCAGATATCTTCTGGAGAAAGGAGTGGAAAACAGCAGGATCAATTGACCAATCCATTCATCCATCCATCCATCCATCCATCCACCCACCCATCAAAATGAGTTGAGCTGCTGCTCTTTGGATCTCGTCTAGCAAATTTCTTGCCAAAGGACATGAACACGAGGATGTACATTGTACATCAAATTATATATTTTAAACTGCATATTATATATAGTGTGTATTTTATATAGTCATTTATGAAACAAAGCTACTTATTGCTAGAATCAAAACTGTTGTTTAGGATGTTAGAAATGATTACTGTTCCTTTCTTCATAAATCTTTGATGAAAGAAAACCTATTTGCTAAGCCTGAAACAAGGTCTTCTGTTTTGCTTGGAACTTTCCTGAAGTTGTTTTGTTTTTTTCAATTTGGAAAAAAATGAAAATGTGTAGATAGCTGCCTTTTCTTTGGGTCTCTGCCAAGATGAAGGAAATAGCATGTGGCTGTAAGTGATGCTTCTCTTTTGAAGAAAATACCTTTAGACTGGTCCTTTATGTGAAGCGCTCTTGGATCCGATGGGTGGTAGAAGAGGGTCTTGGCCTTTTAAAAAATGTAATTTATTTTTACAAGCATTTATTATCTCTTCCTCCTCTCCCCCTACTGAACCATTAAAAAACAACAACAGAAAAATAAGGCCTTCATCACATATGCAAAGTCCAGCAAAATAAATTTCCATATTGGCCATGTTCATAAATGATGTCTCATTTTGCAATTCAAGCCCACCACCTCTCTGACAGAAGGTGGATGGATGGCCCGTTTCATCTTCAGTCTCTAGATTTCTGGTTTATCTGAATGTATCAGAGTTCTAAAGTCTTCCAAAGATGTTTTCTGCATCACTTCAGACAGGTCTTCCCTCTTTCCTATGAACCCATTTCATCATTTCTTATGGAGTCCTGTTCACAAAGCATAGTAGTTCCATTTTAAAAACAAAACAAAACAAAAAACCTTAGCAGGAGATATATTTTAAGGAGATCCTGCCTGAGTCGACTCTGCTGTGCAAAGTACCTCATTCGGAAGTTCCCGATTTCTGTCCCTCACTTTGGGAATCACAGCATTTCCATTATCTGTAAAATGGGAAGAGACCCCAATACAAAGGGAGTTTGTATGCCCAGGTTAATTCGTGTTTACTAAGTGCTCTGCTTTAACCAAAATATGCAATCCATTTGGAGATGAGCCCAAACTTCAAAACTCGAAGCAAAAGTTAAAATTCTGTCCAAGTGATTCGATATTGTTGGATGCAGGAGAACAGAGGCCAGGACTGGAGATGAAACCGTTTTCTGTCCACAACTATCTCCTGATTGACACCCCAACTCTATCTCAGCCCCAAGATGTTTTCTGGTACCTCTGATGGGGGAACAAGTGGATACAAGCTGTTTCGGTCACATCTGGAGAGGGGCAGGGAGGTGCTCAGGACTGCTTCAAGGTTCGGGAACAGATCCCAGGAGTCCCCTTTAGCTGGAAATCAATTGGTGAGAAGTGAAGAGCCCTGCACTTCTGGGCGTGTCTCGAGATGGCCCCGCCCGTTGCATCCCAGCCCTGGCCCCGCCCCTCACTGTCCAGCTGGGCCGCTTCTGGAGGTAGGAGAAAGGAGGGAGACAGGTGCCCGAGGAGCACAAACACCGGGCCGAGACAGCTAGAGAAGGACCAGGTGAGCTGGGAGCCATTACCTGGGGGGATGAGGGAAGGGCAGAGGCACTCGGGCCTGGGCCTGGATGTGCTGGTGCGGGGTATACGTGGCGTGAGGGGCGGGGATGTAGTACCTGGAGTTAGGGAGGAGTATTGACCCTGCACTAGCGGAAAATCAGGAATAAAGTTTCGGGGACCAGGAGGTCGTGGTACGGGGTGGGGGTGGGTGGGTGTGCTTATGTCCACAGTTTGGGGACCGGCTTCATTCAAGCTACTCTTGGCTTAGCCTCATCCTCCTTTGTGGATAGGGATTGGACGCACCTCTGCCCTGCCGGTGAGAACCAGACCCCAGGTTAGACCCTAAACGCCGCCTAGTCCCTTTCCCCAAAGGCAAGGTCTCGAGACACACACTCCTGTCCACCTAACTTAGACCAGCCCCAGAATGTTAGAGACCGTAAGCACCTTGGAGATCAGGTCATAGGGTCATTGATTAGAGCTGGAAGGGATCTCAGAGGCCATTTACTCCAACCTCCTCATTTTACAGAAGAGGAAACTGAGATCAAGAGAGGTTAGTGAAGATGGGATTAGATCCCAGGATCTGGGGCAGAGTCAGTGCTGTTTACACAGTATCATACTTCCCAAACAGACGTTAACCCATCCAACTTGTTTCATCCTGAGCAATTCAGGTTTTTCCATAAACCTTCCATTATCTACCTAATTAATTAGGTAATTAGATTAATTAATTAATTAAGATTATCTACCTAATGTCTGGAAGCCTTCCTCTGGCACTTTTGGTATATCATGGGTACTGGTGAAGCACTTGGTCTGTTATACTTTATTCTCTCTACATTGCATTCTTCAGTTATAGGAATGTGAAGTCTAGTGAGTGACTTTTCCCAGGTAGCAGTGACAGAGAGAAGAGAACCCAGGCCTCCTAATTCCCAGTACAGTGCTACTTACACTATAACAACCTCCTCCTAAAAAAAAAAAAATCTTTCCCCATAACAACCCTTAGCTTTGTTGGATGGGGGTGGGGTGGGGGTACCTAGGGCACTTCTCCAGAGCTATACTTGCCTAAAAACACCCATCCTCCCACCACTCACCTTCACTCTCCTAATTAGTAGTGTTTCATGAGTTATTTATGCTAATGACTCTTCACTCAACAGGTATTTATTAATCACTGATTATATGCAAACACTATGATAGGCATTTAGGAATACAAAGATAAAAACAAAACAGTTTGCATTCTACTTGGAGGAAAATAATATGTTCACAAAAAATACAAATATATTCTTATTTATGTACAATATATACAAGGCAATATCTGGGGAGAAGACACTAATAACCGGAGAGCATCAGGAATGTTCTTGTGTCGGAGGCATTTAAGCTGAGACTTGAATAAAGCTATGGACTCTAAAAGGCAGAGATGAAGAGGAAGTGCAATTCCGGGGTATGTAGGACAGGCTCTTAAAGGCATGGAGGCAGAAAATGTCATATGTGGGGAAAAGCAAATAGGCCCATTTGGCTGGAACATAAAGTGTGTAAGGAGGAGTGGTGTGAAGTCAGTCTGGAAAGATAGGCTGAAGCCAGATTGTTAAAGACTTTAAAATGCCAAACAGAGGAAGCTTTCTGAGAAAGAAGTTATTGGTCAGACCTGTACTTTAGGAATCTCACTTCAGCAGTTGTGTGAGGGACAGATTGGAGAAGGAAGGGACTGAATTTTGGGAAACCAATTAGGAGGCTATTGCAATAGTCCAGATGAGAGGTGAAAAGAGGCTGGTCTGGGATAGTAACCATATGAGTAGAGGAAAAGGGACAGATTCAATGTGAGATGGAGGCAAAACTGACAAGAGTTTGGACTGCATATGGGGAGTGACAGGAAAGTGAAGAGTGAAGGATGAAGGTTGTGAACCTGCATGATTTGGAGGATGGTGGTGTCCTTAACAGAAATAGGGAAGTTAAGAAGAAGGATGGGTTTGACAGGAAAGATAATAAAATTTCATATGAGGCATGTTAAGTTTGAGATATCTATCTTCAGGAGGAGATGTCCACTAGGTAGTTGGTGATATAGAACTAGAGCTCGGGAGAAAGATCAAGGTTTGATATAGAGATCTGGGAGTCAACTGCATAAAAATGGAACAGAACTATTCACAAGAACACCCTGAGAGGATACAGAGAGAGAATTAAATAAGATCTAAGACTGCCTTTAGGGGACACCTATGTTTCACAGTCAGGACACAGACAAGCAAAGGAAATTGAAGGGCCAGACAGATAGGAAGAGAACCAGGAGAAAGCAGTGTCATGAAAACCCAGGAAGGAGAGATTATCCAGGAGGAAAGGGTGGCCAACAGCGTGGAATGCTGCAGAGAGTTCAAAAAGAACGAGGAAACTAAGAAAAGACTACTAGATTTTTCGAGATCTTTGTTGACTGTGGAGAGAGCAATTTCAGTTGAGTGATGAGTTTGGAAATCCAGTTAAAAGTGGGTTGAGAAATGAGTACAAACAACTTCCTGGAGTTTGGCTATGGAAGTCAGGAAGACTACGTAGTGTGACTTTGTACAAAGATGTCCCTACAGTGCACCCAACTGCCCAAGACCTGTCCTTTAAGCAGCAGTCAAGGGAGGTGGCTATTCAGGAAGGCGATGGCTCTCAACAGCTAGTGTCAAAAAAAGAAGTGAAACTCATATACCTACAATTAACCCATACTTGGCTCTACTCTCCCTCTTCTCCCACATCCGGTAACCAGGTCCTGTCTTTTCTATCTCCACAATATCTTTTGAATTGGTTTCCTTCTTTCTAATCCTATTGCTATTTATTTATTTTCTTTGTATTTGTT